CTTATTAATATTGGGAATTAATCAATTATAGTTATTAAATTTTAAGTGAGTTTCATATGTGTTGAAACTCATATTTAATTCAATGACTGCATTAAATTAAATCTCTAATTAAGTATTTTATAACATTACTATTGTTCTAAATAACACTTATTAATGTATGGAAGAGGATAAAAAGAAAAGTATAACAAACGAAAAGGAAAAATGAAAATAAATCGTTGATTTGTATACAAATACCGATTTAAATTCCTATTCTAGGTTTGTTGATTCACAAATAATATCAATCCTAAAGGTTTCAATAACTCTATTGATTCCTGAGAATACTAAAATAATTGAAAAGAAAAGAGACAATTCTCTTAATTGTATTCGACGATAAAAAATTATTTTGTCCTATGATTTACCAGACTTTAAATAGTAATAAAAATCTAAAACAACTAAGAAATTAAAATCCTAAATAAATTAAAAATTAAAATAAAATAAAATTTTACTTAAACTAGTAAATAATAAAATATAGTTTCCTAATAAAAATAAGAAATACAAAAAAAAATCTCATATTTTTTCTTAATTGAATGACATTGACCGCATTCAAATAAAATATTAATATTTTTGTCATTTATTCTGCATCATTTATCCACCCAAATTTGTATCCTAATATCTAATTTTTCGTAAAATAGTAGGTGCAAACTAGGGGTGCAACTTGACACAGGCCAACCCAAATTCAACCTGAGTTTAACCCTAAAAAAAAAGGCTTGAGTTAGAATTTTTAATATTTGGGTTGGGTCTGAACAAAAAAACTCCAATCTGAATTGAATTTTGGCAAATCTTAGGTGGAGGTCTCGGGTTGTAGGGTTCAACCCAAATATACATAAAATATATAAATATATTTAATTAGGATTAATATTTATCTTCATTATTTAGAGTCAAAATTTTCACTTTACTTCAAGTTTTCATCCTTGCATTTCCATCATTCTCAAATCATTTTCTCATTCGTCACTCTTTCCTCTCTCAGCCTCCCTCTATCAATCGTCACTTGTTTGAGTCGTCTTAGACTCTTAGTCTTCCTTTCTCACTCGTCATTCATTCTTCTCTCATTCTCTCTCTCTTTCATCTGTATCTCGCTCTTTATCTCAGATTACTTGAAAAAATTAGGTTTACACTTGAAAAAATAAATTTTACACTTAAAAAAATTAATCCGAATTAAATAATCCAAGTCAAATTGATTTTAACTTGAAATTAGCCCGAATTAAGTAATCCAAATTTAACCCGAACTCGCCCGAATTAAACCTGATCAGTACTCGGGTTGAGATAGAGTTAGGATTAGAATTAGAGTTAAAGATTATATATTTAGGGTTAAATTATGATTGATCTCTCAATTCACCTAAATTACACCACGAGTGTAAACTGTTGTATTCGTAAATTAAACCACTAAATTTTCACCATAAAGTCGACATGCACCTAAATATATGCAATCTCTTGGAAAAATGTTTGGATTGTAATCCTAAAACTGTTTTTTTTTTTTTCAAATACAAAAAATCAAGTTAAAACGTGTTTGGACAAAGTGTTTTTCGGAACAATTTTGGAAAAAATAAGGTAGACTCTGTTTTAGTTTTTTCCAAAAAATAAGGAACATATATAAAAGGTGTTTTGAAGAAAAAAAACGTGGAGAATAGCAAAAACACGTGCATCATTTATTGTGCGCTTAAGTGAGAGTAAAAAATGCCCCCTCTTTTTTTATTATTCTCTCTCCCCGTCATCTTGGCCTGAACTCTCTTCTCTCTCCCCGATATTAAGCCCTTGTCTCCTTGGACTTCAACTTCAGCCATCATCTTCACTTCAACCCCGACGAGTGAGAGCTCTCTCCGGCGAAATATCCTCGGTTGAGAAGGTGTCCTTTCCACCTGAAGCAGACGCCCAATCTCTGGATCTCCTCTAGTGAGGTGCGGATCTGATCTTTCTTTTGTTATTTGTTGCAGATCTGGTAAAAAATACTGTTAGATCCAAATATTTAATTGTTTAACCTACTCAACTCAAACTAAAAAAAAAAATTCCAAAAAATTTCTGCGTCCTGTCACGCGCTATGTGCACGAGTGGCATAGAATCTCTCCAGGTGAAACAAGGACAAACTCCGGTTCTAGATTTGATGGAGTTAGGGCTCGCGTGTAAAGTTCAAACAACTTTGGCATCTCTCTCTCTCTCTCTCTCTCTCTCTCTCTCTCTCTCTCTCTTTCTGTCCCTCGCCATCGTCGGTTAAGGGACCCCTCTCTCCTCTGTCTTCCATGTTGGTAAGAGACTTCTTCGTGTCTCTGTCGCTCGCTATATATGGGTGTGGATGGAATAAATTCTTATACTGATTCAAGATCATATGTTTCACTGTTCAATTGTTGGTTTCTATTCCTTGAATTTCTAATTTTGTATTGAATTGTTACTAGCTATATGTCAAATTTTCAAACTTTTGATGCCCTTTTCAATTATGCTCTACCCTTTTTTCTATCGAATTGTTTCATGAAATATTTGAACTTTGAAGGAACAGTAGATAAACTCGTATTTTTGTGCCATAAATTAGTCAGCTCAATTCATGTACTTTTCAAGTTCAAAGTATTTGGTTTTTTTGTTTCATCCAACTTAATAAGAAATTGTGCTTAAAATTGCTTTTATTTATCATCAGTGAAGGTAGATGATCTGCTTTTTTGTTTTTAACAAGAAAGGCCATTACTCAGTTTGGTCCCAGAAAATATTGGATTGACTGCTTCAATAGAGTTAGTTGTAAATTGTCCTCACTTTTATCTTGAGTAGAGGTGGCCGACCCTCTCTGTCTTTCAACAGAAAGGTTATTAGTCAGTTTTGTCTCTTTTATTTCTTGTTTTGAACTCGAAAAAAAGTTTCGAGGGGGCAATTGGGGGAACCCCTTCTTGGGTGGGACAAGGGAAACCACTGGTGGGAGTAAATATTGGGGGTAACGGTTACACCACGTCAGTCGGTCAGCGTGGTGTAACCGCTCAATAATAAACAAACAAACGGGTAAGTGAACCCCACTTTTTGAATATGTGGTGGTTGCTATCTTACATGGAGAGGTAATTATTTGGAGGAATGGGGTCCATTTTGCCTAATTGTTGAGTTATCATTAGGTGACTATATCACGTGAAAATGCTTATTGGGTATAACCGTTACACCAAATATTTACTTCATCAATGGGGCCTACATGGCAGGAACCCCACAAGCGCTTCTAAAGGCCATCTCGAACTATAGCCTTACCCCTACACCACATTACCACAGAATTGTCAGTGGGAGCAGTATGAGCCCCTATGAATCGAATCCTTCTGGCTAACCTCATGAGTGTTAGGGAAGACACTAAACGGGATACTCCAAACCATTGGACCACCAACCCGATGGTAGTATGGTCTCTATTAATTGAGGGTGTTGGAATTGGTAGCATTGTTCTAGTTCTTTTGTTTGGCCGTTGACTCGGAAGGCTCGAAGACACATTGTGGAATTGTATCGGATGATACACTTGAAATGTTAGATTGAAGGAAAGAGATTCAGACCATATAGTGTTGCTATGGAACAATATTGGCCGCTGACAATGACTCGGATAACTTAGAGTTGACTTGTAGCTATTTTAGACAGTAGGAGACGTGCGAGACTCATAGTTTATGCAAATCGTAAAACAATCTTTGAACTAAAGGTGCCTATTTGAATATGAGTGGGCTAATACTTTTGAACCATGAGAAGTAGATTATTTTTGTTCTTCTTTTTCTTTTTTTTTTTTTTTTGACTTGTTTGTTCCTGGTGGATAGTTACACTTCTTTGGTTTCTCCAAGCTTGTAAAACATAAAACAAATAAGTTATCCAAAAATGCTTATTATTCAGTTTGGTCCATGTTAATTGAGCGCCGACCGATAGAAATAGACTGACTACTGGAGATATTTGTGTTATTTCGTTTGCACTGGTTTGTACACGAATGTGTGAGTTATACCAAGTACTTAGTAAATTATAGACCACTTCAAATCTTCATTGGTTGGGATTGATAGACTAGTTTTCTTCTTTTTTTGTTTTGTTTTGACTACTTTGTTGTGGTAGATAGGTTCACTTCTTTTTTGGCTTCTTTAGATTTGTAAAACATAAAATGAATAGATTATCTCCATAGATTCAATGGATTTCTTCTATCTTAAGGTAATCCACATCATTACTAGTGTGGGCATGCTTTGATTGAATGTGGAAACAAATTGATGAATATTTTTCCTTCTACCACTAACTTGAGATGAATTGTAATAAGTGATCAAGAACATAAAACTCAAATGAAGCACATCTTCCTGTTTACAACTTTCTTATCTCCAGTCTGCAAGATTGAAATGCGGGTCTTCTTTGATTATTACATTCCACATTTCAGATTCAAAATCCTAATTTTTGTTTAACTGTAGAGACATATAACTAACAGATGAAAAACATGATGGGTTAAAAAGGCCTCAACACGATTGCTAATAAGAGGAAGGAAGAATGGGTGATGCTTCAACTTTCTCAGTGAGGTTCCCTAAGAGTTCTGTAGTCTGATTTCTGCTTGTCAAAGCACTTATCGTTTAGGTTGAATTGTTTCTATTGCTTTTTGAAGCACTTCTAAGGTTAGAAAAAGTTGACAGCACCTGAAACTCCATTGGTTCTTGGTGTTGCTTCAACTGTTTTACTGATTCACCCAGTTAAGTCATATGCCTTCTTTCATCAACCGTGTGGGATACCATCATATTACCATGAATCAATGGATCTTTCAGGCTTGTAAATGTAGAAAAATTGGAGTTCTGTAGGTATTCAATTTATTGTCTACTTTATTTTTTTTTATCATTTTTTTGATGTGTGATCGTCATTGTTGAATATACTTCATTGGTTTGGCCATGTATTTCCAGGTGCGCCAGTTTCTTTTGGAGCTTTTTCCTCAAGATCGCTGATAATTTAAAACTTTGGCAGCCCCTATGAGTGGGTCCTGTCTTCTTATGCGACTTTATGACTAGGTTATGAAGGGTTTTCTTGAGCGGACTGTTAGTTCAAAGTATTATTCTAACAGCTCTGCTTGTTCCCCTAATAGAATTCCTGGTTCTATCTGCTCAGAGCCAGGATCAAACGACAGTAAGCTCCCCAAGTCTTCCTTGTGGTCGAGCTTCACTTTGCCAGCTTTCTCAATCTTTGAAACATTAAGTGAGCCAAAAGGCTGTGGAAAGAAAGCATCGAGCTCTAGGAGCAATGGATGGACTGCAGCTTTCAAGAGAGTAATGAATGGTGGTGGCTCAATGAGGAAAATTCAAGAGCGTGTACTGGGGCTGAACAGGACTGGACATTCTGTCTCAGCTGGTGACATATGGCTTCTAGGTGTGTGCTACAAGATTTCTCTGGAAGATTCATCTGGAGATCCGGCTCAGAGTGAAGGCTATGCTGCATTTGTTGAAGATTTCTCATCTAGAATTCTGATAACATATCGTAAAGGTTTGTCTAGTGAATTGCTGCCCTTTTTCTGGATGGGTTGTTAGGTTTAGCAAATGTTAGCGAACCATGATGTTGCTGATAAATGGTCGTTATGCATTTTATTAACAGGCTTTGCTAATATAGGAGATTCAAAGTATAGCAGTGATGTATACTGGGGCTGCATGCTTCGAAGTAGTCAAATGCTTGTTGCTCAGGTATAATTTTTTCCCCTCCGCTTTTGCTTTCACTCTTGTGAAGTTTTGTTTCTGATGAGGATTGAGAGCGCTCACCATTGCTTTTGGGTTAAGAAGAACATTTTGTTTTGTATGTGAGTAAGTTCTTAGTCAATGAAATGAATTATTCATACAGGCTTTACTTTTTCAACGATTGGGGAGATCATGGAGAAAATCTTTGCACAAGGTAATATGCATGGACAGAATGTGTGTGTGTGTGTTTTTTTTTGTTTTCATTGTTTTAATCAATGAATATTGAAGATAAAAAATGATGGGTAAATGTATGAAGTTTTATAGCCAACTGGATATGCTAATGTTGCCATATTTCTAATTATGCAGCCAGTTCATCAACATTACATTGACATATTGCACCTTTTTGGTGATTGTGAGGAGTCAGCTTTCTCCATCCACAATCTTCTTGAAGCTGGAAAGGCTTATGACCTTGCTCCGGGATCATGGGTAGGCCCATATGCCATGTGTCGCACATGGGAAACTCTAGCCCGCTGTAGGACAGAGGAAACTGAACTTGATGACCAGTCCTTTCCATTGGCTATATATGTTGTTTCTGGTGACGAGGATGGGGAAAGAGGTGGAGCTCCTGTTCTATGCATCGAAGATATACTCAGCCATTGTTTTGAGTTCTCAGGAGGCCAAGTTGATGGGTCACCTATTCTTTTGTTGGTTCCTTTGGTCCTAGGACTGGACAAAGTCAATACGAGGTATGTTCTGTTTGTCATGCTCATCTATATGATAGCAATACAATTGTATTTTTTATGGGAATTATACTTTCTCCTTGAATAGCCTATTGGATGCTCGGAACCTAGTATGAATCTTTTACTGTGCTTGTCTTGTAGTGAGGTATGGTGAAGAAAATGATCGAGGATAGGTCACATAAAAGGGGGAGGGGGGAATTACTGTCATGCCATGTCGAAGAAATTAGGGGGTGAGGCTGTAAGAACATAGTATGCTATTACTATGTCAAGTGATGGTATTCAAACCATCGATTCTCTACTCCAAGGCAGGAAATAGAACAACCATTTATTCTCACTGAAGATGGGAAACATAGTAGCTTGGTTCACTGTTTACTTAAATGTCTGATAGCATAGTCTAGCCACTGAACATACCGAATGTTTTACTAGTGCAGTTCGTTGCAACAAGTACTTGACTGTGTAATTAAAAGTTTATGCAACATAGATAGCAAGCTTGGTGAAGTAGAACGGAAAGTAGAAGAACAAACAGAAGAAGTAGAGATCTACCTCATCCTCTCGAGGATTAGGTCAAGAAACACACAAATACTCAATCAATTTCCCAATAAACTCCACACTAATGAAAAAGGGGGTATATCGTTATTTATAATCTAGTCTCCTGTGAAAACCTCAATTAGTTTCCAATAAAACTCTAATTAGAACAATTATAGAAACACTCCTAATCAAAATATATTCAAAAAAACTCCTAATCAAATAAAAATTTTCTATTGTAATAAGTAAAACCCAATAAATTCCAAATTACAAAAATAAGCATGATAACATGTAATTAAAAGTATTACTTATGGTGCCTTTGATGGGGATGATGGAAAGAAGAGGGATGCAAAACTAGGTGGAATAGACTTCCATCCACGGTGGAAAGAAAGAACATTTCCCTCCTTTTTGTTTGGCATGAGGGATGGAAAAGTAGGAGAATAGATTTTTATTGTTTTTTTAAGTGTGAGGAAAAAATGAGGGAAATATTGTAAATGTGAATATCAAAAAGCCCTTGCTTACAAAAAATTTGTACTTCAACTTGAGTCATTTGGTCTAAATTTTTGTAAAAAGAAAAGTCATATATATTGTAATGTTCATACATGTAGGTATATGACAGAAAATAAAGAAAGTTGCAAAAAAAAATATAATGAAGTTATGCGGACTGCACCCTTATCTTTGTGTTTTTGGTTGATTGCTTATCATGTTATAACAAAGCGAGGAGGAGTGGAAAAAAAAATAAAATTGGAGGCATGAGAAGATCATGCACTATGAAGTATGAACACTGACATATTTGCATTTTGAAGGTAAAAAAGTAAACTACTTGTGCCTCACTCTAACCTTTTCATTTTTTCCTCTTATTTCCGCCTAAATTAGGAGGATTGCAAATGGTGCGCTAAGTGGATTACTTTACAACTCCCTTTTTTTCCCTCTCATTTTGCGTTTCAAAAGAAGCACGCATACTCTTAAGAAGGTGATTTGTTTGTGTTGGACACATGTTTGATACTCTTGTAGTCATGTATGTAGTTGAAAGATAAAATCTTACTTTGGATACGCATGCAACACTCCGGTGATGATGTATCGTCGGACACTTCTTTAATACCTATCTATGATTGAAAAATAAATTTGTGGCAAAATGTAATTAACAAAATTTGAAATTTGATAAATGACTGACGATAGTATAGACGAATATATAATTATGAAGCCTAATCAGGTGAAAATTTTATTTAAGATTTACTATTAAAAGCAAAATATTGACTTACAACTATGAAGCTATAAAATATCATACCTGGGTATTACTAATAGCAAAAAAGTGGAAGTGACAGACATAAAAAAAGTTTTACCAAAGAAAATAGTTTGGGAAGATGAGAATAATCACTATATTTATATATTTTTGCAACACTTAATCTATAACAAATTGATGATTATTAATTGTTATGATCCATTAAGCTAAACAAAAATATTGGTTTTTTTTATGTTTTGTAGTCTGAGAATTATAATATTATCGAGAGATTATATAAAATAAGGTAAACTTCGTCCACACTACCTGAAGTTATTCATATATTCAATGACACCTCTTGCATCTTTTTGAAATTTCACTAACACCCCTCATCAGAAGTTGTCTACTAACGGTGTTAATAGAGGCGGCCATTTTACATAAATACCCTTACACATGGGCTGGCTAGCTTAGTCCCCCTGAATTTAATTTTTTCCCCAAAAATTACCTACATAAAAGTACACAAATTTTTATTATATTTGAATTTGCCCACCCTATATTATTTTTCTATCATTTTAATTGGTATAAATATCTAATGACTATAAGCTTTCAGACATGCTTCAAACACGAAACGGACATATTCAAATAAATTTTGGACATATCGAGCTTTTTTTATAATTTTGCAGCAAAAATTGTAAAGTTATTTTAATATTTAATAAAATTTAGGATCATTATGAAATAAATTATACGGTTATTTTATAGGTCTATAATGGAATTAAGAGTCACAACTTAAAATTACAAAATTATTTGTATTTAAAAAAAATCAAATTTAATTATGTTTAGTTGACAAGATTATTCTAATTAGATCAAAATGAGCGATCGAGAGAGAAGGAAGAAAAAATTATCAGTGAGGGTGTGACTTTCTCTAGCAACTATTATATTCTCTAGGGAGATGCGATTGACCTTTATTTGAAGCTCAGATAATCGACAACAATACTACAATGCTATGTTATTCTCTTGGTCAAGCGTAGAAAGGAACAATCAACAATGGTCTTCTACAACTAGTCACAGAGTTGTGATTGGTGGGTGGAGTTGTTATAAGTTTTGTGAAGTAAAGGGCATCTTCGGCATTTTGAAGAAATAGTAATAATTTTCACTTTTAAGAGTTGTCAGACCCGACTGTTGACAGAAGGGGGTGTAAGTGATTCAATAGTAGAATCTAGAAGGGGGTACAGTGAAATTTCAAAAAAATACAGTGGATGTCATTGAATATATGGATAACTATGGGGGGTGTGAAAGAAGTTTACCCTATAAAATATAAACTCAATGATTTGTGATGTACCCCTCCTACATGCTTGTGTTCTATTTTTCAAGAAATTCCATGTCCATATCATTTTGTATCCGTGTCCCATGCTTCTTAGTTCCTTTCTAACCAAGCAAAGGAACACTTTCTTTTCCCTCTTTTCCATTTTCCATTTTCCATCCACCCATTTTTCTCCCATACCAAACAGTCTATAAAATAAGTTGTGAAAATTCTGTTCTTTAACTCCAAGCTTCGTTTTGATCCCCATGACTTGGTGTTGTTTAGGAGCCTTTTGAAAAGAGCCCCCTTTTATACTATATTTCTCATACCTTATAGGGTTGCATGGAGCTTTTAAAAGATTGCCTCTGGAGCGACTTTTGTAGGGTATTCAGGCTCTCCATTGCAGTTTTCCAAATGCAGTGGGAATGCAGCTAGGAATTCATCATTATATCAACGCAAACTACTTCCCTGGTATGAAATGGTTTTGGAGTGGGATAACATTTGATTTGCTTATTTTTCATGGAAGGGAATGGACAACTGCATGCGGCATATTGAAAATCAAATTTTGTAGGTTTTGTGGATTTTATGACCCCAAATAGATGGGATGAGTCCTTGTTGAGTTGAGTCAGTAGAAGACATTCTTGGTGACCAAAGAAGTTGAACAACCTATGTAGGACGAGCAAGATTACGAAAACTTGGCGAGGAATGTGATCCATGAACTATAATGCATCTCTTTGTTGAAGAATATGATCACTCCAGTGTTGTCATTCATAATAGGTATTGAAGAAAACTATTTACCGGAAAATTGCCTTTTGATGACCATAATTGCTTATAAAGTTGAAGAGTATGTGCGCCTTAGCAGTATTTTTCCTTTTGAATCAGCAATATTTCTATCATGAGTATTAGACTTTCTGCTGTTGATCATTTCAATGTGGCATAAACTTTTGTGGGAGGTGGATTTGGTGTGGACCACACTGTACAATTGTGTTTCTCTTTTTGTGTTGCATTTTGATGGATTTGGGGGAGTGGTAAAAAAAGCTTCTAGATTCTAGAGATATGCTATTTCGGCCATTTTTTGGGTCGTGTGGATGGAGAGAAACTGTAGAATCTTTGAAAGAAATGAGGAGAGGGAGTTGTTACGGGATAGAGTGAAGTTTTTAGTATCTCTTTGGGTTGCAGTATTTGGTGAGTTTGTGACACTCCTTTATGAGTTCTTCAACACAAATGGAAAGCCATTTGCAGTTGATAGTTTCTTTTGTTTATATTAATTTTTCCTTTGCTCCATTGGGTCAAGTTCTTGTCCACCATTTACGCACATTTGCATCTTTCTATGAAATGAAAATTCTAGTTCCTATCCAAAAAAAGGATAAACTGGTTATCTTTGAAGAGAATTCTGCTTTGGAGGAGTTAGGGGTCAATTTTACCTTCGTTACATTGTTTTACTTTTGGTTAGTAACCTTTTAATTTAACCTGCTTTTGTATATGTTCCCTGTATTTGACCATTTGTGAAAGGCGGTGTCTTTATATTCCTAACTGCATGTCTCTTGTCTGTTCTACTTCTAAGATAATTCATTCATTAGACTCAAACTCAATCAAATAGTTGACTGAACAGATGAAGGAACAAACCAATACACCCAAAAAAGGGTAAGGTCAGGTTTGAGGTTTACCAGGAAAAAAAGATAATGTTTGCATTTACCCTTGGCTCATGTTTGAGCTTTGGCAATGCAGGTAGTCTTGGTGCAGTGTAAACCCAACCCAACGCTCTTGTCTGACCATGTTGCTTATTGCAGCAAGGCTCTTTTTTTTTTTTTAATATATATATAAGTACTGATAGGTTGATGAGAATATTTATTGCCCTGGATGATTGGTTTATGAATATTTGGGAACTACTGAATATGTTAAGTCATGGAAACCGTGGACTTCTTGCATGCCTTTTATAATATTCATTTGGGTAATTGTTATTTGTTCATGTGACTTTTTGAGGATTATGAGAATCCTAGAAACATCTGGTCATCATCTTTAATGACTCAACTTAAAATTTTATTTTAGCGAGTCCAATAAGTTTAGGAGTTTATCAGAATATTTTTCATAACTGAATTTGACAGAGAAGGAAGGTCTCTAATCATAAACGATAAACATAGGAGAGGTACAGAAACGGCAGGGATGTTTCTGTAATTATTGAATGCCTTGCGAATATGGGAATATATATTGTTCATTTTTCGGTTGTTCTTAACAGCAATGACCATTCATTTAAGTCTTCGGATAGCACCACTGCTCTTCAACATAGGTTGAAATTCTCAGGTTGAGTATCTTGTTTATTGCTATGGCTATCATAGTTATTAGTATCGTACGATACGCGATACGTATCGTACAATGTCACGATACACCTGAAAAACAATATGTATCGTGTCTCTGTATCGTTTTTGTACCATATCGTACGATACACGATACGATACGTCAAATACATACGATACGCGACGATTCTTTTTTTTTTTTTTTTGATTTTTTGGGGCTGAAATGACATTGTTTTACTCTAAGACTTATTTTTAAATCACTAGTCAGTGAAACAATGTTTTAGTGGTTGTGGTTTAAAAAAATAAAATAAAGTATGTTGTTAATGTTATTCAATTGAGTTCAAAATTCCTGATTAATATTAAAGTTGTTCAAACAGTTGATGTTAGAAATTTGAATTAGAGGTCTTTGCATTTTGATATTACTGAACTATGTTGAGAACTTGAATAGTTTGTGGAATATTAATAAAATGCTATATATATATTATTAATAATTATTTCAAAATTAAATTGCGCGTATCTTACGATACACTATTTTTGAAAAACGATACGCCTTCCGATACGCAATTTAACAACACTTATGGCTGTAAACACTTTCATGTTTCTATCCATAAAACATCCCATTTTTCTTTGCTCTTCTGGAACCAGTATAGAAATGGGTGTTTTTTCTACGTTGTTTACCATGATTACCGCACGGGGGGGGGGGGGGGGGTTGTTTCGGGGAAGACCTATGTGGGGTTTGTAAATGTGTCGTGATTCAATGCCATATTTGTTGAATCAAGTTGTTCTCTCATTAATGTATGAGTGAAAGAACTGGAATATAGAAGTTGTAGTGACGTAAGTGCCTTATTTCATATGGATTTAATGTTGCATCCTTTCAGGTATTTGCCACAGTTGAAGGCGACCTTCACTTTTCCTCAAAGCCTTGGCATCTTGGGCGGTAGACCTGGTGCTTCAACGTACCTTGTTGGTGTGCAAGATGAAAATGCATTTTACCTTGATCCACATGAAGTTCAGCAGGTACACTGTTTCCCTAGTCCTATCTCCCTAGATTGTTACGGCTTATAACCACCAACAGTTTTTTTTTTTTCATTTTCTTTGGATAGGTCAAAGGAATAGTTTTTGGACATTAGAGCATCTCCAATAGTATTCTTTATTTTAGAGATTATTTTTTTTGAAATAGAGAGTGAAATATTTTTGACAACTCCAATGGGCTCTCTATTATAGAAGAACATTAGTCTTATAGTCAATAACATTTAATGAAGAATGTGTGTCACCTTGTCATTCATTAAAAATAGAATAGAGTGAATTGGACTTCCCAAATGTAGAGAGCCATAAAAGGCTCTCTATTTTAGCTAGTCTACGTAAAGAGCTTATTGAAGCTTGATTTTTGGTGGTTGACTCTCTAAAAATAGAGAGTTGAGTGGGAATAGAGAGCCTGTTGGAGATGCTGTTACCATCATAGTCCCATGTGTTATGTTACCATCCATTCTAATAAAATATTGTCATGGTTTGGTTTGAACATTCATACTCCTGCAATGGAAAGCTTAACTTGAATATTGACGAGTGTTTGTTCAGGTCATAACGGATATATTGTGTTTGCACTTGTTCGGGAGACTCTTCAATGATAAGATACTTGCTCTACCTTAAGTGGCACTGAGGAAGCAAATCATTCATTCCATACTCATTTTGTTTCTCCTAAGATCATTTAGTGACCTGCAAATTAAACTCGAGACTTTGGTGATTTTCATGTAGTGAGTACGTACGCGTTACACAGTTTTTTTCTGTTAGGTTTCTGGATGGATTGCCTGCCTGCCTCAGAAGTTAACCACAAGCTAACAATGTGAACCTCTAGATTTTAAGAGTATGCTTTTGAAAAATTGGACATTCTAACTGGAGTATAAGTGCATTAAATGCTTGTGTCCTATATTATAAGAAAAATAAAATGTTTCTGTCCTAAAAAGTTGCAACTCTTAGAAAATTACTAAAAATCTGTGCTTGCACCATTCTCTTTTTCCTAACTTATTGAACAGGCAATGAAAGTCAAGCTCCAAACCCTGGCTTTCTATGTTTCCACTTTTTGTGCTATTCGTACTTTTTCTTTTTCCTAACATATTTTCCAACTATATGATTTGTTTCTTTGTTTTTGAAGTACATTTACCTTTCTTCAGTGCTAGTTCACCGAGGACAAAAATTGATTTCTTTATGATTTTTTGAGCTTCATAACAACCCTACCTCTTCAACTGAAAATTTTCCTAAATGTGTTGGGTGATAACTTAAATGTTTCTTCTTTTTCTTCTTCTTATTCTTCTTATTTGCTTTCTTTAGTGTTTGTTTTTCGTTCGTGTCAGTTGTAACAATCTCTTTTTTACTGCTGGCAACATCATCAGGTAGTTGATGTTGGAAAGGATAATCTAGAGGCTGATACTTCCTCTTATCACTGCAAGTATGTTCCTGGTTGAGACAGATTATCTAATTAGATTTACCACCAGCCTGTTTACATTTCTCTTTGTCTTATGTTTTTTGGTTGTGATTCTAGTGTTGTACGACACATCCCTCTTGATTCAATCGATCCATCCTTGGCTATTGGATTTTATTGCCGAGACAAAAGTATGAAGGCTTCTCTTGTTTGATATTTACTGATTTATATATAGTATAACAAAATATGAGATTCTTTTTCACCACTATATCTCTGTTTTGGTTTTCAGATGATTTTGATGATTTTTGTTCTCGAGCCTCCGAGTTAGCTGATCAATCAAATGGTGCTCCATTATTTACGGTTACTAAGGCACGCAATTCACCAATGGCAGATATGTTGGGCGGTGGAAGTCGGGTTCAGGAGGATGATTCCTTTGATGTGGCACCCACCGGAGATGCAGAGGGCTGTACACCAGAAGATGATTGGCAACTTCTTTAACTCAGAAATATTTTATTGGTTTGGATGCCAGGGTTTGGGGTTGCTCACTTAATACATTATGCAATTGGTCTATTTATTCGTGTCCCAACGCCGCAACGCCTCTCACCTAGTGCAACAACAATTTCACCGAGCAGGTGCATGCTCAATTCTCTATTATATTCAGGAGTAATTCATATTGTAGGCTTCGTTTTTCGTGTTTTTTTTTTTCCCATTTCCCATTTGGAATTGTCCATGATGAAATACGGATGATGCTGTGATGTGATATAATCTAGCCATTAAATTGTTGTGTCAATAAATTATGGCAGTTGTATTATATTGATTTCACAGCTTTATATCATGTGTCGAATCTTTAGTTTATTCGATGCTTATCAAATTTTCTATACCTAATCAAAAATCTACTCTGGGACGGTCTAGGTATTGAGCCTTTCAGGTAGCTCTGCACAACATTTGTGGAGAAAGAAACAACATTCCGAGCAGCTGTAAAATAGATTTGAAATATGTTGCACAGATGTTTCACATATCATTCTTGATTTCGGTATTTTGTACTCTAGATATTTTCAATACCACCAATTTTCTGGACAAAATGGCTTTTGACATAATCGAGTTCTGTGTTGGAAGCTGTGCATTAGATACTCTCTAGCACCATAGCTTGGTTCAACTCTTAATTTACCATTTCTATGTCAAAATTAATACAAGTGGGACTGATAAATTCATCGACAGGCAATGCCAAAAGTTGAATAATATCAACTTTTTATCAAAGATAAAAGGGAGAACTTTGGCTTTGCTATTGTCAATGGGGGTGTTCACCCTACCATACGGATTGGAAATATAGTCTTCTGTCTTCTTATTCGATACGTTGTGAATTTTTTTTTCTTGGTTTACCCTACCCAATCAGGTGTGGTATTCTTACCCGACTTCCTACCTGATTAATCGGGTAGGAAGTTGGATAAACAATTTTGTAGCTATTAATTTTTGGATCATTTTAATAATTCAATTAAATAATATGTACCAATTTAACAACACTAAATCAATAACACTAAAATCTAAAACAACTACAACAACAATTACAATAAAACATAAAAAAGTATGAACATTAATCTATTATAATTGTTATACAAGTACAATAACAATTATTTTAAGTTTAAACTAGATAAAATATTGTAAAATTATAACTGCTCCAATAAATCACCAGTTTACCACAAATCATGTAATCTACACAAAAAATAAGTTTATGTTATCGCAACTTAAATATCCATAACAATAACAATGTTATAATATAAATTATACCACACAAATACTCTTATAATTACTAAAAAAATATAAAAAAGTTAAATATATTTTTTGTGGGTAAGGTAGAGTAGGAATGCGGAAATTGATAGGTATTCCACATTCCTACCGATTTAATCAGAAAATCAATATCTCTTCCGTATTTTTATCCGATTTTTGTGGCTAATCGTTCAATAGGGTATAATAGGATCAGATAGGATAAAAAATTACGGTCAATCGAAAATTTGAACACCCCTAACTATTGAGCACTTCACATGGGCAAAATAGCTGCACTCAATCCTAATAAACCCAGTATCCAGCGGCATCACTTGGGCATCAGTATTTGCATAAACTAGACTGTTCAAATGGTAGAGAATTGGCAAGAGTTGGTGAATTGTCGTTATCACTACCGTTAAGGGAGTTTGTAACAAAGTACAGCTCTTGTGAATCTAGAATTGGTAGGTGATGCATAGAAGGACACAGTCTTTAATGTGGCCAGAACCCCCATTTTCTTTGGGCAAGGAAGTCAAGATAAAGCTGTTGCACAGGAGATAAAGATTAGAAATTTGATCATATTTGGTTTGTATTTGTAAAGTAGTTTTTCTATTTTTGAAAAATAAGAGAGAAGTTGTTTGGATAGTAGAGCATTATATCTAATTTGTCAAAAATTGAGAACAAAAAGCTAAGAATTTCAAAGAGCACTCGCTAATTGTGAAATAAATTTTTTTTTTAAAAAAAAATTTTGAAAATTCAGGATGCAATATGCTGTGCACTTAAAGACATTATTTAAAAAGAATTTTTTTTCTCTCTCGTTTGTGTCGTTCACTCCGCTTCCAAGCAAGCGTGATTGATTCCTTTAAACCCCTTATCTTGTCCGAAAACTCTGGCCCTTTAAGTGGCACGAGCCGGCTAGAAAAGGTTCAATCAACTACTAACAAGCTCATGAAGAATGTTTTTTTATGTGTTTTGTGTTTTCTTATCAATTGATTTTACATATTTTTTCAAGGTTGACTTTCTCCTTAGACCTTGATTGTTTTGTGAGTAAATCTTGTTGGTTCATGTATTGTATAACACTAGTCGAGAAAGAAAATCGTTGTAACATACCCCACTCCCGTCCTCACTCTCTTGTTCTTTTTCAAAAGATTTTTACCCGAGAGTGATTCAAATATATATTACCAAACAAATTTTTGGATACAAACAAAATTAAAAATTTTTTTTAAAATTTTTTTTCGATAACATCCTTCTAAATACTAATTTTTGAGAACATATCCAAAGACGTTTCACACGCGCTTCTCTATCCCCGCTCTGCCACTCAACTAGATCAACCACCACACGCCTCTGATGAAATCACCCATCTCTTTCCCCTACGCCATAACCAACCCCAACCCCAACCCCCCTCCCTCTCCCTCTCCTTCTCATATCAACCACTTTTTAGTCATTTGTAACCATTAATAATATTATTTAGAGATAATTTGATTAATCACAATCATTAAATTCACAATCATTAAATTAGTTGTGAACCCTAAAAATCAATTCAGTAATTATAAATAATTAGCTTAACAAATTAGGTCTAAATAATATTACTTTTTTGACTATAACTCTGGCAATAAATTGCAGTAATAGATTTTAATTTTTTAGTTTAATATAATTAAAATACTATAAGAAAATAAAATAAGGAAAAAAGACTTCCCAAAATCCCTCTTAATTAATCTGATTTTTATAATATATATGGTATAAAAATATATAGATAAAAGAATTGATTAGAATACAATTCAGGTAACAAAATTATCGACTAATACGAAAGCTAGCTCAAGTGATAATAAGGACAAATTGGTCCTGAGTTCGAATCTTGATAACTATTTGAGGTCAGGTCATGAGGTAATTATCCCTCATGAATACTCTAATCCTAACGTAGATAATTTATCTTTGATCAGGTCAAAGAAAAAATTAGTCAAAATGTGCATAAATTAATCTAATCACTCGTGACAGTCCACGGTGCACGACGGTGGGACATTTTCATATATAAATCCAAGTCCAAGTCCAAGTCCAAGGCGTAATGTAAATTTCCAGCATGCTGTTAGGATTGGGGTTAACCCAACAAGCCAGCGAGATTCCGGGCCTGGGCCTGGCCAGGCTTGGAAAAAATGCAATTAAAGCCCAATGGGCCCATCACTCGACCCCCACTGCACAACGCCCTCAAGCTTTGGACACGTTGTATTATTTTCAGCACTCATGCTGACTTAATTATTTTCTATCATTGGATTGACGATGAACTCCACTATTGGTTAATACTCATTATCAATTCAATAGTTATAATGCATCAATTCAACAAATTAAGTCAAAATATCATTTTTCATTCTCTAATCCCATCACCTAGCCAAAGATCCACTTAAATATAGGGGTTCAACTTGACAAATTGAAGGGTCAATTTGGGTTCAACTCAAGTAATACAAAATTTTCAACTTGGATCTAACCCAAATCCAATTTCAACTTGAATCATTTATACAATAGTTTTGCCCATATTTAAACTTTTGAACTCGAGTATATAATTCAAGTTAAACTTCATCCTAAAATAGGAATCAACAAAAGTTTGAATCTCGGGTTCTACAACTTGAACTAGAATTCTAGTTTAACTCCAATTGAACACAAATTTAATTCTCAGATATACAACTTAGTCTAGATTAAAAAATTTAAATTGGATTCAAGTTGAATCCAAAAATTTGAGAAATCATCCAGAGTTTTGTCTCAATTTCAGGAGAATTGAAATTTTTATGCCCGAACCAAACCCTTATACTAAAAAACTTTACCCAAGTACTTGAATATTGCAATTTAGTTTCAAATTAATCCGTCCAAGTTGCACCCCTAATTGTGATATGCCAATTTGGATGGCAACAATCTATAGGCATGTCATTCGCCTTAGTCGGATATTGATCTCACATTCCTAGTAGACAGGGTTAACAATTATGCTAAAATTACAATAAATAGTATTTCCCTGGGAAAAATGTCATTTTTCATATAACAATAATAAATTAAATCCTCGAATTAGTTTGCCGGAAATATCATTCTTAGTAATTGAAATTCATTCCTAGCTGGCTTTTCATTCCTACCATTCAACCTTGGGCCAGAAGGTAGTGGACCTTGAACTGGAGTTAAACTAGAGATGAGGGACTTTTCTTTTGATATGGTCACCTTACACTCCTCCATAGCCTCAAAATAGGTGTGACCTAATGGCCGCAGCCCGACCACACATACCAATAGTCACCAGATTCATATGAGCTATTGAGGAGTAAGCAATAATTTTCTTAAAATCAATCTATCTTAAAGCGGACAATAGACTACTATGATAACAAGTACACAAGGAAGAAAGAGATACCATGGTTCAGCCAGCTCCAAGCAAATAATTTAAATGAGCCCTTGATTCAGTAATAAACAAAGGGTAAATTGAAAGCTAGTATGAAAATTTAGAGTTATTTGAGCTAAACTATATTAAAAAAACTTATTTGACTTTAAGTATATTTAAAAAAAAAAAGACTAAAAGATCATTTATTACTCTCTTCCCTATTTTCTCTCTATTTATTTATGTCTCATTGATAATTTTTTTTAAATATGTAAAGATTTGATTTAATTTTTTTATTTCTCTCTATCTTATTCTCTCTCTCTCTCGCTCTCCCCTTATTCACTCTATTTCTCTCTCTTTATATCAACATTACAATAACATAATTATACTAATCAGTTATACCAATTAATTACAATTACCTTCTAATACACCAAACACTTACTCATGTGTTCTAATAAATCAAACAGTTATACTAAACAATTATACGAAATTACACCACCAACATAATTTGTTATTCAGTTATTTACATAAATTAAAAAGTTACGCTATTTAGTATCACGACATGGTTACACCAATTATATACACCAAATTGAGTTTATCATTACACAAAAGATTTTACCATATACTAAACTTGATATGTATAATTAGTATAACGATGTCAATACTAAATAATACAACTTTTTAATTTATTTAAATAATTGAATGATAAATTGGATTGATGTCATAATTTTGTGTAATTGTTTAATGTAACTATTTAGTTTATTAGAATGCATTAGTAACTGTTTTGTGTATTATAGGATAACTAATTATTGTCTGTGCCTGAAGGCACAGAGTAATAAAAAATGGTAAACAATAAACATATTTGTATTCATATCCAAAATCAAATCACAAATATAGAGAAGAGATAAAAGAATTTAAACATCAGTTTGTAATAGAAGTGAGAGATGGTGGGTAACAATAGTGGTGGTAAGAGACAGTGATAATTGTGGTGGATGGTAATGACCGTGGTAGCTGTGGTGACAGTGATGGTAGTGGCAACGGTGGCGATGGTAACGGCAATGGTGGCGAGGGCGATGCTAATGGTGGCAGTGGCGACGACGACGACGGCGGGGTGAGGGTGATGGTGGTAGAGGTAGTGGTGTGACAGTTTCAAACACTATTTTTTTTTAAAGTATTTATCAAAAATAATTTTTAGAAATACTTTTAAAAAATCACTCCCAACACACCCTTAAGGTCTATTTTTTCTATTAAATTTAGAGTGTTAATATTAGCCGTTATATTAATTTTAAAATAAAATTTAAAACGATCTCAACTGTCAATAACAAAAATAATTTTGTTTATATTTTGAGATTTGAATTGTAAGCTACTTTATTATATAGATTATAACTGATTGATGTAACTAATTAATAATTATGTTATTATAACGATGATATAAATAGAGAGAAATTGTTAGGGAAAATAGGGAGAGAGAGAGAGAGAATAGGAAAGAGATAAAAAAATAAATCAAGTATTTACATATTTCAAAAGAAAATAAATTATCAATGATAGATATACATAGATAAAATAGAGGAGGGATGGGAAAAGTAATGAGGAGAAAGAGATGGAGAGAAAATAAGGGAGAGATAGTGAGAGTTTAATAAAAATCTTTACAAATTTAATTAGATATATAACTATCAATCAAAAATGCATAATTTAAGGAAGGGTATTTAAATAAAAAAAATTGATTTTATTTGAATTTTGTACTTAAACACAATATGTTTTATTAAAATTGAACTTAATAGAATAAACAATTTATACATACACTTTTCCTCGAATAAGTTTAAAAAATTATACCCACAACCAAAAAACCCCTAAACACTATCTCAAAAACAATCGCCCGCTTAGCGATCAAAATTGTCCACCTAATACACAAACCTTCCATTTTAGAGAGATCAAGTTTGGAGACTTGGCCATAAAAAACACAAGCCATATATATATGCAAAAGCAATCTATTATCCCAGTTGGATGATTAAACTCATGCAATAAAATTAAATCTATTTTGCAAGTCCACGAGTGGCCAAAGGAAAAAAGCAAAAATGTAAAGGATGCCTGTAACCTAGATTTACTGTTCATCATATTGAATTAGATTTTGCAACATGAACATACCTTTTGGGAAAAACTGGTTCAATCTAGTTCTCATCTAATTTTGTAATTGGTTCACGGGAAAATCAACAAGTTGGCTGCAACTACTGGGTTTGCACCTTCTTCTCTGAGCAAATGCCATGTGAATGAACAACTGGTTCTCGATGCAGGAATGAATTAGACGAAGAGCTCCATTCTAATCATTCATTTTATGAAACATCTATGGAGTGCTTAAATACAAAATTGCAATTTAAAGCAAAAGAGAAGGAAGCGACAATAAATTACCATCACCAAAATCCACTATCAAGAGAAAATTAAAAAGCTAATTTCTTCTTATTCCTGTGAGGCAGAAGCAGCTTCTTTCAAACACGACCTCATGATATCCCCAAGCTTAGAGCAAGCATCAAGGCATAGCTCCATTGCCTGTTCAGAGAAGGTGTATTAGCAATGTAAGCCCCATCAAATTCCTGTCTTTCCCATTTATTTACCAAGCCATTTTTTCAGCCCTAAATTAATCTAGAACTGATAAATCCACATGCTTACAACTAAATATATGACAAGAACTCATGCAATGAATCAGCAAGCATATGCATATTTTCACAAGCAAATCCCTGCAAACTACAGGTGGGAACATGCAAAGCAAGTGTAACAAAGGCTCAATTCAAAGAACAGTGCATCTAATATGCTGCTTATCATGTTCAATTCAACGGGGAACAGAAATCCAAGGCGAAAGTAAGCATTGGACAAAAGGACCATACCTCATGAATCTTTGGGGTTGACCATTCTCCGGTGACAGTCAGCTGAGTGACCTCATTACGAGAAGGCATACAAGTAATCATCATGCTTCCATCCTGGTAGCTTTCTTCTTCCGTAATAGGATCAATCACAAGGTTCTTCCCCAGACAAGACTAGACACTAAATATTGTTAGATGTGGAAGGGGAATATTCAATATGATCATAGACCATGCCAGATGTGATTAAAAACGAAAATGAATATTTGCGAAAAGAAATTCATGAATTCACTGAGGAACCAGGTGCATTTTGACATCTAATAAGAAATCCATAGCAGACCCCGTGGCTCTTTAGGATACCTAATTCATTAAACTGCAGATAAAGTGACTATTTGGTTAAGGGAGATACCTCTCCAGAAAGGAATAGATGCCAATGTGGCACTAGTTATTAAAAATCCCGTAAAATCACCCAAATATTCCAGGGTCATACATATGCAATGAATTTTTTCTTTTTGTTTGTTTTTCTTTTTGATATCTGAGAGGGGGTGAGGGGCAGCTATATTTCACACAAAGGAAAAAAACGTATCTACTTGGGAATTACTACTAAAAGCAATTTTCTCCAACATTCAAATGCACGTGTATATGCAAAGTCATGACCAAAATGAAGGACAAGATAAGGAATGCTGGTCATGTCTATTATTGTATAATCATGCATTCAGCAGTACCCAAGTAAAACAGCGAAGGTTCTTAGATAGTCAAGAGAGACACAAGAACTTGAGTGGAAGTTGTGAAGCGGGGAGTGGGGGCGGATGGCAATGCATCTAAATTTCCCCTACTTTTTGATTAATGAGATGCAAGTAAAACACTGATTTTTCTTTAATATCACCTCCTAGGACATTTACTCTATTCCAGAAGCAGGATGGCAGATAACATACATAACCATGATTGCACTAATATCTGAACAACAGGATTAGGATCCCAAGTAATAAAACCATTCATCGTCGATCAAGTTTCAAGAGAATGTTTGCAGTCTTAATTGGCAAATGTAAAAATATCAATATATGGTCCATCATACCAAAAATTGTTCCCCAACAATTCAAACCTAATTTAAGAATAAAGACCAGACCCGACAAAAATGTGTCCCCTTTCCCCTCCCTGTTCAACGTAGATCTAAACATGCCAGTTCAAAAAAAAAATTCTAAACACGTAAAGAAAAAAACATATACACTGGCAAGTAGACAACACTACAACGATATCTAGCTTGCTGCAAGCTTATTTGAATTTCCAAAAGTTAAATGTAACATGGAAAGAAATGGGTGTCTGTGATGCATACCACGGAAACAGAGGCAACCACATCATACATCATAATCCCTGCATCTGCTAGAGCAAGACTAGCACATGATACGACCACAGGAAGATCACCTACAACCATTGTATATGACTACCGTCAGTATGCTAGGCAATAACACAAGTAATTCCCTACAATCAATAACATCAAGCAGTGATCTTAACCAGTCAATTCAACTGCCAACTTACAGAACACATTTAATAAGTTCAGAACTCAGTTCCATACAGTAGTTTCTGAACTGAGATCTAACAGCTCACTACTTGCATCAGCTCAGCTAGTTGGCACCAGTAATTATGTAAGTTATTAACCAAACAGAGGCAATATGGAAGATGTGAAACTGATGGACATAAGGAAACAATTAAGGATAATCTTAAAGCAAAATACTACTTTTATTGTTCCTTTCTCATCAAAGCCAAACTTCTAAGCATGAAAGATTATTATCCAGTCCACTATTGTATTTGTGTTTGGGTATGATGTTGAACTTACTGCCACCGGATTCCAACACTAACGCAAAGACATCTACGGTTGTCTTGGGGAAACTATCCAGTATAATGGCACCCTCCAAAGCTTTATGTAGCATTGAGGAAAACTCTTTGTTGTCTGATCCCTAATAGATCGAAAAAGTCTGAATCAGATACAGGAATTAGGAAAACAAAAAATGAAAGAAAGAGCATGCTAAAAAAAGGGCAGTAAAATCAGCACTTGCCATATACCTGTCCACGAATTGGGGTGGAAAAAGTTGTATAACTGACATTACAATTCAATCGCCCTATATCGCTGTACATCATTGCTTTCTTACTTTCTCTAGGCCCAAATCTGAATCACAAAAGGCCATTAGGATGATTCAATCATAGTCTACAACCACTTCAAGATTTGACGAAGATATTACAAAAAATTCAAGTTCTGAATTATTGGAATCACACCGACTAAGTTCTGAATTATCGGAATCACACTGGCTAACTTTGGTTAGTGTCGAAAAGACATTAGTTGACTATAGTGGAATTAGGTTTAAATTGATTTAACAGACTTGATTTATGTGATTCATAATAACCTGTTTATTACAAGAGAATTCACAAGGAATTTTCCTTGTGGAATAGTTGTGCTTATCTGGTTGCTGCAAGTATTGCTTCACTCACATTGATTTACTCAAGCAATGAAAAACTAAACCAGATGACATTTATCATTTTGTTCTTTCTAAAGGGCTCACTGTTTACCTCCTAACATCAATTTTAAAGCATTCTAAGCTACCTAAAGTCCACAGCAGTAGAACACCAAACTATAGACATCCTCTGAGAAGAAGTGACAAATTTATAGTGCTGATATGCCACAAAATTTGAGAGAGCACAAGTATAAAATAAAAGGTTCCTCAACTAATTTGATGTCACAATGTTCTATGATAAATAAGAAGAAACATCAGAAATATATGGAATTAAACACCAACATGAAAGTGGTATCAAGTAACAAAATTTACTCACACGGATACAATGACCTTGGTATTTCCAAACTCAGCATAAGCAGATCCTGATGCGGCATTCGCTGCACCAGTCCTTAAAACTGCAAAGTTCCAACCACACAATGTTCTAGGAATTTAATCATAGAATAACTATATACTGCAATTAGATTCAAGCAGAAAAAGAAGCCAAAATAACTTGAATGAACAAAAGGATAATAAACAGGAGCATGTGAATGAAGTCCAAAAAGCATAAAAAATATATATTTATACCCATGGTGTTATGACCCTTTTTTAATATAGTCAGCCTGTGAATTTCATTAGTTAGTTTTTTTAATATAGTCAGACTGTTTATGTCATACAGCGATGATAAGCCTGACTTTGTCATATTTGTATCGTATCTGTAGTTCAGATGTTCTGTATCCTCTGATATTCTATGAGATGCTTCTGGACATGCAACAGCATACCAAGCCCACAAAACATAAAGGAGAAACAGAAAAACTAAATATGACACCAATGATCACCATATTTCACTCTCATGAGTCCAAAGAAGATACCATAAATAATACATCAAGTTTACATGGGTCACTCACCTGGTGCCCCCATATGATGTTAAACCAATTTGAAATGAGATGTCACATGTCACATGTGGCGCCCCCCAATGACGAGCCATTCTCCACTAAAGGATATCTTCAGCACCTCCCAAAGGACAAGCTGAAGGCTATTCACACAAAAGGCTACACCCTGATACATGGCAGGCAAGTAATGCCCAATGCTACTCCATGAGGACATACCCCGAAGGCTCATGAGGATGCCTCAAAGACGACTAACTACAAAGGCTCATCCATGAAGATGCAACAAAGGCTACTCTATGATGGTATGTTGAAGGCTACATTACACAAGGATATGCCAAAGACTACTCACGCCAAAGGCTAATCCATGACGACACACAAAGATCTACAGAATGATGACACACTAAAGGCTACTACATGATGCACCTTAAAAACTTTTTGGACTTGGAGCAAGGTCCAAGGCTAAGGCTACTCCATGAAATCTTTCACCTTCAACTGGGATGAGCTAGGGAAATTTATAAGATGATAAAAACGAATTTGCTTAAAAAAAGTTAATAAGTGGTAGTTACTTAGTGTGGGAATGGAGGCATAGTTATATCACTTGTATGAGCCACTTCAAAGAACATGATTGGATGAAACTTTTTATTTTTATTCAACAAGTCATGATTGTTAAGAAAAGAGAGAGGGAAGGCTTCCCCCAAAAAAGGTTGTCATATGGATATTGATGGTGTAAAATACCGAAAAGTATGAAAGTGGATGAGTTGTCACTTAGATGTGTTGAGATATGAATTGAAGCAAGTAAAAATGCACAAATTAGAGTGGTCCATCCTGCTAAAGAGTAGGAATAGTCCATTGTAAGAGGGACTCCTACTCATGGTTTTTCTGTATTGCTTGAGGAGGAAGACGAGTACACCAGGGTTTCTCTTAGGGCAGTGCATTTGCTTACCCGTTCTCCACAGTATTCATTGCTTTTATAACATTCCTTTTAATTGAACATTAACTAAGTTGACACTCCAAAGCAAGCATAAAAGCTTCATCAATTCAGAAAACAAATGAAACTTACCGCACTTGGGCCTGCGATTTTATTTATTTTATTAATTTTGCAGAGAACCATCACCCAGAAAAGTGGATTGCAGTTCCATCCCTCAAATTGAAACACAACATATCCCCATAAGAAGGAAAAAACACAAACAAATGTATAAGTGCAAGGAAAAAAAAATGAACATCAGGGAAATGTCGGGGAACATCAATTTAGAAACCCCATTAGACATTGCTCTATAAAGAAGCACAATACAACTATTCCACAATATACAAAATCAGCAAAGATAGACTTTGCCATGAAAATATGCTCAATCGCGTACTTACAAGCCCTTATATTCACCGGCCGAAAAAAAGGTTTAATACAAATCACAAAAGAACCCTATGTATTCGAAGCACAAGAAAAATAAATACACGTTACATATAAGATAATAAGACCAGAAACAAATGCATAGCATGATCAATTCATTAAACTACTAAAAGTAAAAAAGTTGACAACGAAAAATCAAAAGTATGAGGATTAAACAGATGACTGAACAAAATCGAAGCCCAATGGCAGTCCATGCAATGGGAATCAAAACAAAAAATCGATTATACATTCGAACAAAAAATATCATGTAACGAATTTCGTCTGTGCGTGTGTCTGTGTGTGTGAGAGAGAGAGGGAGAGAATTACAGGCACCCCGGCACTGGCGAAACCCACGGCCATCTGGGCGCACCCAATCGACATCTGTGAAAATGGGTGCTCTTTTTTTGTTCTGCATCGTCGGCGACGGCGAGTATGTCGCCGGTGCTGTTCCTGACATAATCTCTCTCTATGTGTATGGATATATGTATGTGCGTATATATATATATATATATATAAGTATCTTTTTCTTCTATAGGAAGGAAGTGAACTCCCGCTGAGTGACGGGCTCAATCAGAGGCTCTTTTGTCTCTTTGCTTGTTGCTCTGCCAGGTTTAAATTAGGGACGCTTAGTTTAGTGGTTCAGTGCTAATATGCGCCCGGAGGATTTTATCACGTGATGCAGCCCACGCCCCATGGATAGAACGGAAAACTGAGTTTGGGTAAACCAGGTAAGCCTAGGCCTCGGAAACGGGCCGGGCTGGCCTGACATTGTTCAGCCCATAGCCCTCCAGTGGACCGGGCATCTGGGCTTTGACTAGTCAACGGGCCAGGCCAGTCGTTTGGAATTTTCATGGCCCATGGACCGGCTTATTGGGCCAAATAGTGGCTAAATACGGGTCAGGTCTTATGGCCCGCACCATTGGACCTGAAACGGATTTTTTTATTAAAAATTTACTTTTTATGTAAAAAAATATAAACAGACATCAATAAATTTATTTTTTATATAAAAAATACAAAAAGATATCAATTACATGAAATTTGTATGAAAAAAAATTAAAAAAAAATTATTCATATTAATTGAATTTAACAAATATTTATATAGAGTTACAATGTTATATTATAAATTGATTAGTAAGTGAAACTTGTAATGCCCCAAAATCTACCTTAGACGACATTACTATCTAAAATCATTCACATCATAAAAACAACTAATATAATTTATAAGTAAAGAAGATTTCATTCATCATTCATAATATTTACAACATCATCCAAAAAAATATGTCAAACCATGACAATTACATCCCAAAAATTAACTATTAACTTGCAGCGGAATAACAAAAATATTAGACTTCACATTGTCTCAAAATGAATCTCTTATACTCCGTTTGGTACGATAGAAAAGTGAGAGGATGAAAAATTAAAAGAATGAAAAGTTGGAAGGATAAATAAAATATCGTATTTGGTAAGGAAGGATGAAAAAGTGGATGAATTAAATTTTTTTTCAACTCACCAAAATCAATCTCTCTAAAATTGGAAGAAAAGTGGTGAAAAATTAATTATTTGTGTTGAGATGTATTTTATTTGTCTATATATCTTTTTTTTTATATATATATACATATATTATGTATACATTAATTTCATATAAAAAAACAATAGTAAAATATATTATGTATACATTAATTTCATATAAAAATACAATAGTAATATATATATATATATATAAATAAATTAAAAATAAATTTAAATATAAAATTTTAAATTTTAAAAATTTTAAAAATAAAAAATAAAAAAGAACAATTCTAGACATTCCCTTTCGGATCTACATGACCCTCAACTTGAGCTCCCCAAAGTACCTGCTCGTTCACTTTGAGCTTTTCCTCTATAGCGAAATTTGAAAATAATATTGTTTGTAAGGGGTGAACACTAAGTTCTGTAAGAAAATCTTTTCAAATTTAGACAAGGTTTTGAAAATATATAAAACAAGTCGGTCTTATTTTACAAATATCATATATAACTTTTGAAAGAAAACAGTGACATCTGATCTCAAGTTTATGCAATCTCGATATATAAAATGAAGAAGTAAAACCAATTCCAACAATAAGTTATTTCCACAAAAATAACCAATAACTCACAATTTGTACTATTATCCACAATGTATATCAAGCAACAACTGGTATCTTTCACAACATGATGTATATATGTATAACTTATATCTCAAGTATGATGTATGACATCGCTTGAATAAACACATCAAGAATATTCTGACACACACACACACCCTCAATCTTCGTAAGGATATCCAACTTTATGCAGGGGCGTATACCAACGCATTGATAGTGACAAATTCAACCCAGGAGTAATATACTAACCCTCAATCTCGATAACACATAAGTGAATAGTGGTTTGGTCCTCACAAGACACCAACCCCACTACGACTGGTTCACCTTCAAATCCACACGGAGTAAGAAACGCATCTACACCATTCTATGAAACCTGGTCAACAGTCACCCATGATCATTCAAACATCCACAAGAGATACAATACAACCCAATTCCTCAAATTACAAGTAAAATCCAAAAATCCTCAAATTTCACATGTATGATTCTAATAGAATAATTTGAGAAAATAAACAAGAGATCATCAACAATACCATTTTATTGTTCAATACCAACCACTAGAGTTTGAAATCAATAACAAATGAATATTGAGAGTAAAATTCATTTTTCTTGAAAACTAGGGTCATGTTTGGTTTGCTTCTCAAAAAATAATATCTCAAAACAATTATTGAAACGAGTTTTAAAAAAATATTTTTTATATTTTCTGAGACGAAAAACTTGTTTGGTTAAACGATTTCAAAAATAGTTTTACAGAATGGAAAACAATATAACTTGTTAGTACAACTTAAATATATGTTTGAACAATAATTTAAAAATTAATAAAAAAATATGAGAAAATTATTTTTAGATGGAAATTTTTCATAAAAAAAATTCAATAAACCAAATTTTAAAATATGAGAAAATTTAATGGCCTTCAATTTGTAATAAATTCAATATAATTTATAACAATTTCAATATCAATCTATATATAAAATCAATCAACCAAGTACCAATAAATTTTTTTGAATCAAAAAATCTCAAACTAATAACAAATACAATATCAATAAGCCAAAAAATCTGAGGTTTGAAGCCTCTTGGTTTATTGATTTATATATATAAATCAGATCTGAAACAAAAAAAAAGCATCAGATCTATGTTTGATCACCGATTGAACTAGATAAAAAATTAGATTTGAACCAAAAAATCGTTGTGTGTGTTTTTTGTGTTCCAAAGTAGATCAAGTCGTCGGAGAACTCTCAGTCGTTGTAGAATACGACCTCCAGTTGCCGAAGAAGACGTTGTGTGTGTGTTTGTTGGAGAAGAGTTCCGTTTGAGAGCTTCTGTGGAGAAAGAAGGGGAGAGTGAGAGTCTGGGAGTGAGAAAGGCAAAAGAAAAAAAAAACTTTTATAGTATGACTTATTTTGCTTTCAAGGGAATTCGAAGGAAAGACCTCATTAAAGACTTCAATTGTTCTCCGTGTTTTTCATTTTTCCCTTCTTTTATCTCCAAAACACCCAAAACAAGTTCAACTTGTTCCCATTTTTTGTTCTTTATATCCTTTTTTTTTTCAAAAATTAGAGAACAAAAAATTGAAACTAAACAACTTTTCTTTGTTTTTTAAATTTTGAGAACAAAAAACTATTTTCAAAAACTAAACCAATCAGTCTATAGGATTTTCAAGACAAAAAGAAAAGTTTTCATGGCTATTCACCCATAGCTTCCATCAAACACATGGTAATCTTTACAAGAGCATCAATAAATAATAATTTCATAGCATATATGTAGGATTGAAAGTGAAAACATACATATATATATGTCATAACCTCAATGGACAAGAGTGGGAGGAAACCCCTACCTTATTCTTTAGTTTTATTTGAAGAACTTGAGATTTGATCCACTTTAATATGAAAATCCTCTTTGATCTTGTGTTTTTCTCATTCTTTCTTCCTCTCTAAGACTTCCTAGGGTTATAAGTATTGAAATGGGGCTAATGAGGTGTCTTTATGTATTTATAGGAGGCCAAATTGTCCTTTGTGCGCGAATCTAAAACTCAGAATCCGTAACTCACGGTCGAATGTTACTTTGGTGTTTGAACGTCAATAGTGCAAATTATTGATTCACATTCGAACGTCACCTGGCGTTCGAATGATAGTTGCTCCCAGTACTTTTGTATTTTCATTAGAGCTCTGCAGACATCAAAGTACTGGGACTTACTGTCGTTCGAACGTCCATTCACGTTCGAATGTCCACCCAGTTTCTGTTGAAATTTCCAGTAGAGTTTGAACCTATTTAGAGATTGATTTGAATTTTTTTTGTGAAATACTATTTTGTAGCCCTTGAAGTCTACTATTTACTGTCAAAATTTCAGATCAAATGAACATCAAATTAAAAATTTATGATCCAAATACTAAATAGTGTCCAAAATCCTTTTTATCCAAATTCTATCTAAAATGTATTTGAAATTTGGAATACTTTCTAACTTCCAATTCATACCCTATTACCTCAACTAATATTTTTATTTCTACTTTTACAATTTACATAGTTCATACATACATTATCACATATATTAGTATGTCAAAACATAATTACGTTGCGATATAAAGATAAGAACGTGAGGGTTTACAAGACTATTTTGCATCACTACAAATTGAGTACATCCCAATTAAGTGTACACCTATACAATTGTCAATCATTTGTAAGTCTCAACCTATAAAAGTTACATAAAAAAATAATAACATTTAATATTCATATTTAAAAAAAAATAACAATAGTAACATGTTTAGCATAAAAAATAGTAATATGAAACATTAAACAAAATTGAAAATAAAAATAGTAGCATTCAAATTCATAACCAAAGGAAGAAATCTCCAATTTTTCAGCATTTTAAAAAGTAACATTGAAAAAGTAATAGTATGTTCAATAAAAAATAGTAACAAGAAAAAAAATGGTAATATCATCAACAAAAAACGTAATAACATAAAACATTGAAAAAAATTTAGAATTATTAATCAAAAAAAATAAAAATAAAATTGGAGATCAAACTAATAATACATTAAGCAAATTTTTCAACATTTTTTTCTGAAAATCAACGACATAGAAGTTTTTGATAATCAGAACGCAATAGAAGATATGGTAGTTGCTGATGATGTTCCAAACCCTATTGATTTTTATGTTATGGAGGAAGAAATGATATTTAAGGAGAAATATTTGTTATACTGGAGTGATGATCTTCTTCTAACGAGAGTGTGAGAGAGAGAGAAAATATAAATATAAATTTTAATTTATGAATTAATTTAAAACTATTTTCAAGATTTTTAAGATTTCTATAATTGAACAAAATAACACTGTTAAGAGTATTTTTGAGATTTAAAAAAATAGTGGACCTAAGTATTTATTAATAAGATAAAAAACGGATCACCAAATAAATTTTCTTGACAGATTCAAGTCATTATAAATCTATGCAATTGGACTCAGCCCTAATTTTCACTATATTTTATCTGTGGTCAATTTCCCACGCAACACGAGCACAACTCAATATTAGGTGGTTAGGATTTCGAATGATATAAGTTACGATTTCACTTCCAAAAAACAAAGATTTGATTCTTATTCTCTTTCGAAAGGAATTGTCTTACTTACCACTTACTCTTATTCACATTGATATTTCTAGAAACAAGAATTTCGTTTCTCTCATGTCCTTTACCTTAAACCTGACAAAGATAGAATGTTTCACTCCGACACTATTTTGAAATAAATATAATCTATATTTCAAATAAATAACATGTCGATTAGTAATTTAATATAATACACGAATATATCAATTTTGACAAAACACATTTGTTTAATTAGTATTGTTAAAAAAAAAATCTTATTTTTAAATTATTGATATAGTATTATATCAACTTATGTTAAATTTTCAAAAAATTTACTTTATTTTACTTTCATAAAAAGATCAATTGGTTATTCAATTATTTTGGTGTTCATTGGGTTTGGTTGAGTGAAATAAAATTTCAAGTCTAAGTTGCACGTATCAAATCAAATACAATTCATAATCAAATCATCTAAATATTTGGACATCTAACATGATTCATTAAATGTGAAGGATTAAAATTTGGGGTGAATTGTATTTTGTATTCTGAAAGATTTAAAAATTTTATTTTACACCCTACAAAATTAGATTTTTCACATATATTTTTAATATATTAAAAAAGTTACAATGTATACTTTCTGTTAGTTTTTGTTACTCATCTCTCAACAGTGAGAAAATTTAATTTTTTTGGGATGCAAAATAAAATTTCCTCTAAAATTGGCAAGTAATTAATACGAAACCGAAATATCATTACTCACTTGAACAATTACATCTCTCTTTCAGTATCATGCCGAAATTTACAATATTCAAAAGTCAAGCAGTGGCAAAAGTTTTGCGAGTCTAAATTATAACCCAAAAGGGTGTCAGTTACAACTTCAAAAATTATCATTAATCATAATTAATCGTAAAAATGATGTATCCAATTATGAAAAAATATAACTTTTAAATGTCATTTTACAACTTATTAATATTATATGTGATTGATGAGACCTTTACATGATTGATCACAATATTATGGTCGACTATAAATGTCGTGATCCATCACAAATAGTTATAATTTATCCTTGTAAGGTATAACTTGACCCTCAATAATAGAATTTTGGAATCATAGGGCCATGTTTGGATGGTTTTGGGATGAGTGATTGGATTAGTTTTATCAAACCTTCTAAACTCAACTCTCACTTTTGTCTACGTGAAATTCATATGTGAAACTTACCCGTATCATTTCTTAAGCACTAATGTTATTGAGACATAATTTAAAAACATAATTTGAAAACTTAATGCATTATAACTATTGGATTGATAGTGTTGGGACCCATTAATAATTTAATGTTTGGATTCACCGACAATCTAATGACTACAATCATTAAATTTTTAAATTATGCTCCAATAATATTGCTCTTTCGTAAGTATTATATATACAAGTGGGATTCACAAATTTATTACAATTATCGGCACATAACTATAATACTCATTGATCAATCTAATTCATACTTATGTTTGTATTTTTACATAAAAGAGTAATTAGGGGGTTAAAATGTAATTTAATAGATAAGATATTTTATTAGGGATCTGATGGTTATTTGACATAGTTAAGTTAAGCTAGGATACCGCAACGCAGGTGTGATCTAATGGGATATTGACCGAACTTCTCACTTTCACGTTGCAGATCTAAGTCTTAGAGCTCATATTAGAGTTCGATGGTTGACCGTTATACTAATTTAGTTAAGTTCATTTTAAAAAAGGGTAACAGACGTGGTTAAGAGATTTATGATCTCACCAACAGAGTCTCTTGCAAACGAACATGGAACAGTAAGGGCATATAGGGATGGTCTCTCTCTAGAGGCTCCTTTTTTTCTCCACTCCTCCTTAACCAAAAACAAGTTACGCTAGCATATATGAAATCCATCGCTCCTTGAATTTGCCCAATCCCATGTGTACGAACCCCATGTGTATAGGTTTAGTACACTGGACCACTTAAAGGTTAGAATATGAATCTCAAATTCATCGCTCCTTGAATTTGCCCAATCCCATGTGTACGAATCCCATGTGTATAGGTTTAATACACTAGATCATTTACGGGCTAGAATATGAATCTCAAATTTGAAAGTATTAATCAATCAACATATTCTCAAACCCCTTTCTAGACCCCACGCCCTAGTTGTTTCCGATACATCGGCCAAATTGGATAAAAAAAAAGAAAAATTATATTTATAATCACAACATCTCCACCTTATAATAGCGACACCGCTGCAAGTCTGCAACCCCACTTCAATTCACAAACCCCAACACCATCTTCAATTCACACCCCGACCCACTGCAAAAAAGACACACACAACACACAATCACATCTTCAAATCCACCACCACCACCACCACCAACCTCATTGCCTCTACATACCTGCCATCCTGGGAGTCTGGGAGCAATGTAGAGTACATGAAGATGATGAGAACAATCGACAGCAAAGCTTTTGTTGCATTTTTCTAAAAAAAAAAAAAGAAAAATCATTTTGATCTGTGAATCCTTTAGACCTGTAATTCTATGCACTAAATTTATTGATGAATTGTTGGTAACTTTGCAATCACTGTAAGGTGTGTCACATACAGTTCAAGAAAGCTCAAATTAGAAACAGAACAGAGCACCCCTCTCAAAGATGGCATAAAAATTACTCTCTCTTTCTCTCTCTCATAATCTCTATGATGGTGGAGGCCCAGGCTCAAATAAGGGAGAGCAACAGCTTGTAAATAGACCACAGCAACCCAGGAACCACAAGCTGCATAGTTGACAAATAGAGAGAGAGAGAGAGAGAGAGATTAATTCATGAGACTGGACTTTCACAATTACTAATTTCTCTCTCTAATTTTCTTTACAGTGAATTAAATAGGACAAAAATAATCTTACCATGATTGAAAACATCCTCCGGTGGAAGGTGCCGGCGGCGGCAGCAGCGGCTCTTCTGGTGGTGACAATGGATCCATTTAACAATGAAGAGAGAGATAAAACTAACAGTAACAAGTACAATAGAGCTCTAAATTATGAAGCAGATATATTAATGTGTGAGTCATTCCTCAAGTCACCCTCAATCTACCAGTCAATGTAGACTTGGAGTTTAGCCCAACATACAACGTTAGCACATGAACCAACTCCGACCGACTCCGATGACTACCAAACACTTCGACACTTTCGTGATTTGCAACATATATGTAGACGCTTTTAAGATTGTACATTGGTCAAAAACTTTGACGAGGTTAGCATCAAAGACTTCAGTATCAAACCGAACTAACAAAATGTTGAACCGAATCGTAATAATATCTCGGGAATTATTACTCATTTGTTTACTTCTTGTTTTTTTTTTCTTCAGTTATTTCGATAATTAAATTAAAATTAAAAAAAAATAAAAGAGAATAAAAATTCTAGGCATTATGTAAACCTATTTGGAATGATCTAATCTCATAATTACCTATGACGGTTTATGTCTCTGGTATGAGTATTTGATGAAGATGAAATTTTGAGGGGTGTGGTAAATAGACTTGACTTGTCTCGGAGAGGAGTAACACGAAACTAGAGTTGATAATCGTGTCGAGTTCGTATTGTTAAATAAGATTAAAAAATTATTCAAAATCGACTCGTTTAAAAAATGAGTTGAATCTAACACGAACTGAACCCAAGTCGAGCTTGATTAACTTGCCTATTTTACATATAAATGAATCAAATTTTGCGAGTTCAAGTCGAGCTTTAATAAGCCTAAAAATTGTTCAAATTTGGTTTATTTAAAACACGAGCTGAACTTTTGAATTAAATCTTATCCGAATAAAACCCGAGTAGTTTAGCTCAATTATCAACACTACATGACGCTCATATTTGGGTGTGTATTTAATGTTCCCAAAGAAAGGGGGTATGATTTTTGTCATACTTGTTTTGTAGCACCAACCAGTCAACTGTTTGTTAACTGATAAATACATTTTACACCCTATTTTTTTTAAAAATATCATGTTATCCCCTCATACACCCATGTTTGGTCACAGTACCCTGCTCACACCTTTCCTTTTACTCCAGGCTAAATTGAATACAAAATCAATGATCAACAAGTGAATAGATTTAAGGGTTTTTTGGTGGAAGAAAAATATCAATAGAGTTAAGAACAATTATTATTGCTTTCTTCTTGCCTGTCTCAAGTCTGTAATAAAAAGATAATTCTATTCGCACTAAATTTATACACCAAAACTTAAACCAAATCAATTACAGTCATTGGATTAGTAATGAAACCCACTGATCCAACGACTGCAAGTGTTTAGGTGCACATAGAATTGCTCGTTAAAAAAACATTAGAACAAGGCAGATCAGAGAGCTACCACTGGGTAACCCACACCTCTAGCAACCCTTCTTCCTCTAGCCACTGGAATCAACAACACAAAAACCACAATTTCATCAACAGCAGCAGTTCCACCACCATTACAACCACCCATTTCATGTAGTTCAAAGATCAACAACACAACCACCAAGAAAAGCAGCAACTATGCAGCCCCACATCAGAATTTGATTTCTCAAACTTTCTGTTTAGGGACTAATGCCGGTGACTCCATATGGTACACACGCAAACACACACACACACATGTATGTTCAGATGTATTGTGTCGCGCCATTTTCATGTCATAGTGCTAAGCGTGGCTATGGTTAGAGAAGGCAATAGGGTAGAAACATAAATTCCTATCATCTTGGCTTATAATCCTGTCAATGCCAATGTTATCATTAGCCATGTAGATAATAAGACAATATATACAAATTGAATTTTCTTTGAACTTTTGTACAAATAAAAAATAAAAAATGAAAAAAGACGTGAAATCCCCTATTAGAATTACATAGATAATTATTTCACAGACCTGTGATGCTCTTAAAATTAAGAGTTCAGAGAGAAAAAATAAAAAAAAATGATCAAAATGCTTGTTTCATCCTAATTTGCAGATTCTTTGAACAGCTAAAGGAGCAAAGAAAAGGATACCATGAATACACTGTACTTTGAAATTGCATGTAAGCGTAATTGATACTCGCCAGTTCTGCTGTAGCATCTTTGGTTTTAGGGTAGTTGCAATTATATGGTGGACCTAACATTTGCCATACTAAACGATTCAAATCGGGGCTCAGTTAAGTCCACTGCTTCATCATCCTGGCAATGTGAACTTCTAGCATTTGAAGTCAATAGCATCAATCTCTGTATGTACTCAGCAGAAGCAGTATCGAATTCTTTCCCATTCTGTTCAAAACAGATAGTACGATCAATATCTAATGGCAATGAACTTCGGGGTGACCATTTATTGGATGTGATTTGCCTGAAATTCTCAGGAGGACTCTGAACTTGTTCGCCAGGCCTTTCTATGTCTAGTTCAGTTTTGATGTCATGAGTGGATGAGCTCTGCAACACAAATAAATAAATGACTTAAGTAGGTGAATTGGATTAGCAAATCATTCAAGTGAATCCACAAAGAATAGTCAGCTTTCGGCGTAGAATATCTTCTTTGGAAAGGTAAAAAAGTGAACTTCGTGGAGAATACCATATTCATATTTCTTGACACTTCACGCATGGAGAAGGGTAAGTGTAGGAAATAACTCCCTTTTACTGCTTGGTCTATTGGAAACCGAAGGAATGTGAAATCTTTTTTGACAACGATCATTCTTCAGGTAACATGGAATGAAGTAAAACAGTGCGTTTCACTTTACACCTTTAATTCAGTTATTACCACAAAGATGTTTCAAGCTGTGTTTTTTCTGAGTATATTGAATATGGGATCTCATTAATATCTCTTGTGAAGCTGTGATTCCATGACTGTTCTACTTCAATAGATGTGTTTCAACTTTCAAGCTGTGTTACTTCTCAGTATGGAAGATTGTATTTCATTAATATCCCTTGTGAGGCTGTGACTCATGTTCTACTTCAATGGACGTTCTCTAAGATGCCTGGTACTGGGCATTGGTGGTATATTTAGAGAATCATGGTGGCAATGGCATCTTTACACCCTTGTGTTGGTGGGAATAGCTTTTGCCACTGTGTGGGAAATCTGGCTCATTTCAGCATTGAGTCCTAAGCTATAAAATTTAAGAGAGACTCAGTCAGCTAGATTGGTCTCTGTGTTGAAGCATGCAGTTATCCCCTAAATGGAGAACGACCAAGCAAGCAAATATGAGTTAGAGGCACATAAAGATAAGAAAGGATGATTATCATGACAAATACATTCAATATAAGTAGCAAAGGAAGCAGCTTTGCTCTTGAGAAAAACTCGAAATGGTCCCAACAAATGAGTGGACGACTGAAGACACTGGGTGAAATGTTCATACCTGAAAAAGATTTATATGGAAGTTTCTTCTTCTCGATTTCTCTGGTGCTATTGTTGAAAGGATTTGAACAACCTCACTCATAGTTGGTCGAGAATCAGGATCCAACAACAGGCACTCCTTTGCCAAGTAAGCCATTATCTGCATCTCTTCTTCTGGGAAATTCCCTTGCAAACGAGGGTCAGGCAACTCCAAAATTACTCGCCTACTATCTTGCAAACGAGGAGTGGCCTGCATAAGAGCGTAAGTTGCAATAAACACCGAGTGTTTAACATAATCAAAAAAATGAAAGCACGATAGTGACCAGAAAAATAGCTGAAACAAAAATGGGCAACAAATAAAGTGATATTCATCATAATTCTGTACAGAAAAATACCAAGCATGTATACACTGCAGCTAATATATCAGCTCAGTATTTGTGCTGTCAGCTAAGATGTTTCATTATGAAGAGATGTTCCAACTAAATGTTTTGTCAAGCTCTAAAATGATGAGCTGATCCAGCTAAACGTTTTATCAAGTGAAGATAATATTATCACATAAAAGAACTATAGAAGTCATTCTATCATGAGAACAATGTGTTGGCGTGAGTTGTATATTAACGGAAAATTGGAGCAATCATAGGAAGTGGGATGGAAAGAAATTATTTCCTTCACACGTTAGCATAATTATAGGAGTAAAATCTGTATAGCTTAGAATAGAAAATATATTCTTATATATTCTTGTAACCAACAATTGTACAAACTGAGGATTATGAAATTCTACACAAGGAACTTTTGACACAATGAAACCGGAGGCAGTTATAATCTTTTCATGGCAAAAGAACAAAAAGAAATGAATATCAAAATACAAAATAACTGTGATTCCTATACCCATATGACCAGGCTTTCATCCGCTTTGTTGGTTGACTTATGGATGGGTTGCCGGCCACTGATCAGCTCAAGAAGAACTACTCCAAAACTGAAAACATCCGACTTTAGAGACGCTCTTCCAACAATTGCATACTCTGGAGCAAAATAGCCAAATGTCCCTTGCATTCTAGCTGGAGAACTCGAACAGCTCGGTAGACCATCAGTTCTCAAACGTTTAGCCATACCAAGATCAGTAATCTGCACACATGTAACTTAATATATCAAATATGTACATTTTCTAGTTGATGTGTATTTTTTTCCGACGTTCAAAGATTTACTAGAAGAATTGTCTGCTACTCTAGACACAACCAACTAGCCAAAATATTAGTAAGAATTGTAAACGCTTCATATACTACATTATGTATCTAAACCTGAAGCCTTACTATGCCTTACTTGGCTTGACTGGTTGAAAATCAACATCGGTTCTGTTTTGACCTTTATCTTTCTGGTATTTAAGATTTTTCAGATTTACCTTAGCTCTCCGGTTCTCATCCAAGAGAATGTTAGTAGATTTGACATCTCTGTGTAAAATTCTTGGGGCAGCTGCTTCATGGAGATATTCCAGGCCCCTTGCAGCTCCAAGTGCAATTGCGACCCGAGTACCCCAGTCCTGGCATATTCCCGAAGCCCCATCCAGACATTCTCTCAAATTACCACTGGGCATGTACTGAAACACTAGCAGCCTCTCAGCATGTTTTCCTTGGTATGCTGAGCAGTAGCCAAGCAAAGGCACCACATTACAATGATGGAGTCTTGATAAGAGTTCAATCTGAGCAAGAAAACAGGTAGCAGAACTTGAATGATTTTTCATTTCTACTGAGATGTCCATAAAAAAAAAAAAGAAGCTGTTTAATTAACAAGTCGATAATAGTTTTCTTTGCTGAAAGCCTGAAACAAATTGATGATATTAGCAGATTGTGGTAGTACCTCAGTCAAAAAAATAGATTCTGCATCTGGCCCACCCTGAGTTTTTATTCTCTTAATTGCCACTGTTCTGCCATCTTTGAGATGGCCACAGTAAACGTGGCTGCTTCCACCAGCTCCTATCAAACTAGTTTCAGAGAACTTATTAGTAGCATTTTCCAATTCAGAATATGAAAAATGTGTAATTGTTCCTTGCATTCTTCCTGCTTTGCTTCCAAATAAGAATGAAGCCTTGTGAATACATCCTGCAGAGAAAAACAGAGAGAAAAATAAAGTAAGATACAAAGCTATCTCAAGACCTATGGCTAGATTAAGCCCAGACATGATTACTTTAGGTATGCCAAAAGGCATGGTCGTATGTACATTCCAAGATTGTAGAAGTAGTTGTACTAAAATGAACAGGTAATTGCCAATTAATAGGACACTCTAATACAAGACACCAACAGAAGTTCCAGTTTACACCCCCTCAAAGAAAGGAAAGATGTAATGATTAAAAGCATATTAAAAAGATTGATTTTACCTGTGATAGGATTGTCCGGCGAACCTAAATAAACTATGGATTCTGATACTGAAGAAGCCCTATGGCTTATAAGTTTGGTACCACTGTTGCAACTTGTGTCCTTATCTGCTGAGAATAGAGGCCGCTGAATAGGACATCTCTCTCTTCGATAAACATAGCATACCGCCAAAGCAATAAATCCAAGGGATGTGAGTAGTACACATAGTAAGAGAACAAGTACAATAACCTTGCTGGAAATCCGCTTCTTTGACGACTGTGACCTACTTGAAGATCCTAATGAGAACCAATGAAACAGCGCATACTGATAAGATTGTTTTGCTAGAGAACATGCTGCTTAATCAACAGTGAAAGACACGATATTGTTCTGTCCGAGCACAAGAAAGTAGAAACCACCAAAATATGATTCACTTGGGAAATGAAATATTTTTTCATCACGAAGAAAGAGTAAATTATATTACAATTTTACAGTGAGGCATAAGGACAAAATACCAGAATCACAATTGCAGGCTGTGAAACAACTGGTATCATGACCATCTGCGGTCAACTTCGGGAATCCATTGGCCGGGCAAATGCATATCCATTTGTTTGCAAGTGATGCTCCTGCAGCTACAATTGGGGCCAAAGAGGTTTCAGAATGAAACTTTACAGGTGTGTGTGGATGTGTGTACATTGCTCTGGATGAAGAGGTACTTGATGATAAAGAATCTTGCGGCCTAACTTGTGTTCCGCCAGCTTCAGCTATCAACAAATGTAGTAATAATAAACTTTACTATAAGTAACTTCTAAAATACTACAGGATTTTTCATCCTCATGAGTATTGAATGTCTGCCTATGTACCGTATTTACAGAACCACCATCCCACTCATGCTCTCTTTGTTCAGTTATCAGACTGAAGCTGCTATTTCTCTTGGAAACAGTAGCTTCACTGCTTCACCTAGATTCGTCCTTGATAAAGGTGAAATTTTATGCTCAGAAATAACTAGAGGGCTAAAAAAATGTCTTCTTAGCAGCAACGTAAGGCTTTTAGATGATTATACCATATGAATTAGAAACAATGCGTAGTGTTTAGAAGATTAGACAGTACGATCAGAAGCATACCAGGAGAGCAATCACAGGATGAAGAACAGTTGCTAGAGATCGCTAAGCTCTGGTTCCCTTGATATGCAGAAGAACAAGTACATGTCCACTTGTTCATCCTAGACACATCAGAAGGTCCATCTGCAAATGAGTAAGCTAGAATTTAGGCTTCTTTCTTTCTATGGGGATTTTTTCATTTTGTAGAGATTCAACTGTCTTAAGCTTCATTATAGATGGATAATACTCAATTACAGGAAAAAGTCTGCAGTTATTAGAGTAAGTAACCACTAATCCTATCAACTACAGCTGATTTGCTGCAAAGGAGGCCTAACTTTTCGTTATGGCACACCTATGATTCTCCAAGTAGATCCCTCGTTGAAGCACCACTACTAGAAGTGGGCCAGGAAAAAATAACAATGAAATAGGACATTGCAGGTCTAGCTTAATCTTGTGGTTGTTATAGGATTAACAACTCCAATCAATGTTACAAACGTAGCACACAGATCTGATACTAACCACATAGAATTTCTTGCGCCCAGATTAAGCTAATGATGCAAAAAAGGGCAATTTCCACTTGAAGCTTCATTTATCCGTTCCAAACACTGAACTGAAAGTAGACAAGAAGCCAGTCAAATCACATTCTTAATTCCAGAATAAGAAAATTTGTGCAATAAAGAACCAAATTCACCAGAGCAGGAGAGAGAGAGAGAGAGAGAGTTGTCTACATTTTCCCAAAATGAGAAGCAAAAATATTTGAACTAATTAAATGCCTTCCATAAAGACAGTTTTTAAATGCCAACTCAAACAGTTCTTTTGTAAAAAAATCCCAAGGGAAAAACTAAAAGTGGAAAGTGAAACTCCTCCATTTAGTACAACTTTCAAAAGGAATATTAAAGCCTGGTGATTGTGTGTCTCTGCCAGGTGGTGGTATAAACCTTCAGATGAAACAGGGCATCCACTCATGAATGTTCTTTTTGATAACTCATCCGTTAGGCGCAAATCTTTTAGCAACTTAAAGTACAGTTTAAGAAGCATAATAACTAACCAGAGTGGAAAGAAAATGGTATGAATACTCCAGGTGTGAAAGGCAAAAGTTAATATCCACGGAAGGGGGATAAAAGAGGAAGGGAAAGAAAGAAAAAGATGCATTTCCAGTAATCTAACACCATATAAGTGTAGCATGCAACGAAATAGATACACAGACATAAAAGGACTTAGCAATCAGGAAGTTGGAGACTGGTTGCCCACATGTTCAAATTGAAGGCATGGATATTTTTTGGCAGCTAAAATTTAGTTATAATGATGCTTCTCTATTCCAAAAAGTTAGATGGAATATGATGATGCTTCAGTATTTGGAAGATACAAATAAATCACACACCTTCAACACAAATTATAAAAAAAAAAAAAAGACAGAATATAACAGATAGCAATTACCGAAAACGTAGTTGGCCACCAAACCTATGTGCATTTGAATTCCTCTCAACCTACACTTCAAAGTATTTGAGCAATGCAAATTTTGTTCTATATTTACAAGTCTTACATAACGAAGTAGGATCAGACTCTAATTTAGTGCACTTTTTTCAACATATACATACTCAAAACAACAGCTAGAGTATGAGATAATGATGCAAACCTAACCTAAAATGCAAATGTTCAAATAAACAAGCACATGCCCACCAACCCTTGAAAATTTTGCAGTGCCGTTACATTGAATAATAACGATGAAAATCCTTTCTAGAATACTTGGCACATATCTCATCTAGAGATTACAAATGCACAAGTAAAGGAGAGGAGACCTCTTCAAAAACATGGTTATGGTTAGCGCGCAGACATTACAGGAAGAACACAAGTATTCCATACCATTAATTGAAACACTTGAAAAGCTACAGAAAATCGAAACCGAAGTAAAAAAACAGCACCATTCAAGAACTGGGAAACCCCAATGCAATGACACTTTGTGTCAGAAGTAAGTGAATTCACCTGATGGCTATGGGCTTAACCAATCTTATTTTCAATTCGTTTGACAATTGATCCTGATAAATGACATTAAAGCAAAAGCAGGCCCAAAGAGGGTCATGGATATACTTATTCAAAATTGTACAGAGCCTTCATTCACTATTTAATAAGTCAATAGCCAATAGGGTAACGCAGAATCAGACATCTGACAGCAAATAAGCCAGACACAGACTTCTGGGTTTTCTATTTTGCTTGCCGAAATGGAAGTCGCTACATTACATTTTCATCAACCACCTATCTGAAAGCAGCCCCCCTCCCGCAAACTCGAAAGAGACATATTAGCTAACCAAGTATAAAAGGAAACATTATTAATTTGTCCCACCATTCTGATGCTGAATAGTATGATTCTGCTTATTAAGTTATCGGATTGTCACTTTGTTAATCATTGCTTTTCAATTTTTTTAAGGGATTTATGCAGCAACGGCTACATATCCTTGGCTTAAAAGACATGTTTATTGGCAAGATTGATGACTGCATATCCATTGCCACGCGCATACCGGCTTTTAAAACTGGAGAGTGACGTTTAAAGAGGTCTTTAACGTACTTAAACACCACTGGTACCACCCAATTCGGTGTCGGCTGGCGGGGTTGGATACGAAATCCAGGACATGGGCCCTGGTGATCTCACCGTACGATTAAGTTGAGCTATCAGACAATCAGGACCGTAAATTAACACGAGGAATTTCAGAGAAGATACCTGATGACTGATGTGGATGTTGACGTAAGACTGATTACCTACTTAAATGTTCCTAAACTAGGCCACCCCAAAAAAAAAAAAAAAAAAACTTCAAGCAAGACTTGTCATCTCGCGTAAAGTCTCCGGTATTGATTTTTTATTTTATTTTTTCGATATTCTACGATAGGTTATCACTTAATAAAACTATTTTACCATCGGTTGTTATTTTTATAATAAATTATAATTTTTTTTAAAAAAATTAATTATTCTTTGATATCGATCTCAACCTTTCGACTATATCCTTTAAAATTATAACTTATATCTTAAAAAATTAAAATTTAACTTTAAAAATTTATAATTTTTGATACTAACACTTTTTTTTTTTGTACCGTAACCTTTCCCGTCAACCTAACTCATGACTTGAGATGAAATCGACGTAAAATGGATGACCTTGAATTTAATTTAATTTAATTTTAGTAGATAATGCTACAGTAATGAGAAAGTATCACCAAAAACTAGTAAGGTTGATTTGAATGATTTAAAATTATTAATTATAAAATACTAAATTTATTTGCAATAGTTTAGTAAAAAATTTTACACATAAAAATTTTTATTCAATAAAATGTAAAAAAATGATAAAAAAAAAAGTGTTATTTTGGTACCATAATAAAACTCATCTTAGTGAGTTTGAGTGGTGATCAAGTAAAGTAAACCTTTCTAAAATGAATCAATACGAGGAATCTGCGGTGGCCTAATGACTACCCACCCTACCGTTAACTTAACTAGTTGCGAGTTCGAACCTTATCCGAACATATATAAAAAATTGTTTAAACAAAATAAATAAATAAAAAGATACCAATTGGATTGAATATAACATAAAATTTTCAAGTTACGTCGTATAAATAACATAAACTAAACTTGGCACAATACGAATATATCTATTTATATGATTATAAATAAATTGGATTTAACTGGAACAAATTTCACAAGCATTAATCCGACCCCAACAATTTACGACCCACCCGTCTTCAGTAAGGCATCTTGATCGGTAGGGAGAGGGGAAAAAAAAAAAAGAAAAAAAACTGAACATCGACTAAATGCAATTACTAAATTACCCTTATTATCAAAATGAACGTGCCATGGGTTTGAAAGATTCATCAACTCCGACGAGTAAATTAGCGAAAACGATGTCAAAAAAAGCGTTAATTAATCGTGAAAGAATAAATCGGCATACCTGTCTACCAGAAAATGACTCCAGAAATCAGGGATTCAATCTCTGCGAGACTGCGACTAATCCACTGCAGTACTGTTCCCTCTCTTTAAGAAAGTGAAGGAGTTGAACTTCTAAATACACAATCGAAAGAGCTTCTTCAGGGGTTAACAGCTTCTGATTTTTCGCTTTTTTTTTTTTTTTCTTTATCTTGAGCTCCAGACCTGCTAATGAGCTCGAAAACACTTGAACAGAAACGCAGAAGAACCAGAAACGCAAAAGAATGAAATGCGATTTATCGAAGAATGCTTTGAATGAATCTCAATCAAATTTGGCATTCAAAAGTGAGCATGATACGTAGCACCACGATGGGAGAGAAAGAGTTTGTGTGAGTGACCGGAGATTGCGACTGTGAGCTCCGATCGATATTCTAATCGTATTTCACATTACTCAAAAGACACAGTCCATCTGAAACTAAGGGAGAGGGAGAGGGAGAGGGAATTGACGGCCGTTCGAGAGTGTTGGGACAGACTAGAGAGCTGTTGGGCACAGATATCGATGGTGGCGCCTGCTGGCGGCCTCTTCTTTCACAATTTACACGGTGTAAAAATAGGTCCCACGGTGGGACCCACTATTGTTCATTGTGATTGGTAGCAATAGCATTAAAGATCAGAGCAGGTGGCATACCCGAGCGCCAACACCGGGCTACACCAAAACCTAGCTGCCACGATGCTTTGGGTTAACGTGGGCCAGCTTTTAACTTGGCAATATAAATTCGAATCTAATCCTATATAAATCCAAATTTATGTTGAATTTAATGCCATATAAAGTGATGATAGGACATGAGAGGAGTTCGGTTGATTTTTGCCAACAACAATGTAAAATTAACATAACTTACTAACATAGTAAAAATTTATATTAATATAAAATGTGAATAATTTATTTTAATACGATAAATTTATTTAATTGGTATTGTATTTAATAAAATATTTAGGAAAAAATTTAGTCATATTTTTTTTAGTTTATCACATCTTTAAGGATACTCTTATTTTTTGAATCTTCGTTGATATCCCTGTCAAATTAAAGATATTAACTAGAATATAATTTTATTAAATTGTCTATAATATATTTTAAAAAAATTTCGTCCACACCCCTCTCGATAGACATATCTTCAATGAGACCTCGCTATTTTATAAAATTTTTAAGTAATAAAATTCGGGCTGAATAAAATTCAAATTTTAATCAGCTCGAATTAAATTTTAATCACCTCTCATTGAATTTTAGTTGGCATAAATTTTGATACACAAAAAATATAAATATTAATCGACCTGAATTTAATTTTAATTCGTGCTAACAGCTTAGTTCAACTCAAATCGACTTGAATTCTAATACGTAGAAAAAGAAATTTTAATAGGTTCGAATTTAATACATAAAAAAATAAATTTAATTAGTTTAATTTGAATTTTAATCGGTTCAAATTTTAATATATAGAAAAACGAATTTTAATCAATTCAAATTTTAATATGTAAAAAAAATAAATTTTAATCGATTTGCAGAAATATTATTTGAAGTTTATGTAGGGGCAATTAGGATACTTTAGATAATTTTTTTTTTGTTAGAAATTATGGTTTAATGAAAGGAGGTGTTAGTCAAGCTTAAATATAAATTAGAAGTGATGTCAGTGATGTTTTAATTAATAAAAAATGTGTAATTAAACATATAATAAACTAGAAAAGGTGTCACTAAAATTTTTCCAAATACCTAATATTACAATCCTCCGATCAAGTATCATGTGTAACTTTATGGGGCCTTTTGGTAAGTTTTATTATTTGGGGTTTAGGGAGTTCGGTACCTCCCTCATAACTTAATATGATAAAAATATATTTTTTGAAATAATTACGATAGAAATACGTCTATTAAAAAAAAGTCCACCCATTTTTGATGCAAAACATATTAGTAGTAATTAGTAATTTAAATCCACCCATTTTAATACCGTCTCCCATGTGTGGATTTAAATCAACCCGGGTAAATGAAGTTATTTGCAACGATGAAAGGGGACCCAGATTTGTAATCATGTCAAAAAAAAAGAAAAAAAAAATTGTCAAACTAGGGATTTGTGAACTAGAGATTATTTTATCCAATCCGAACCAAATATCCCCCCGATCTAGGCAGCCAAACGACCCATTTCGATTGTCAGTTTGGGTGGTGCGAAGGCAAGGAGACTTATTCTCAAATTTTTTGGTTAGAATATTATTCACATCAATCCGAACATAACATAATTAATAATCAGCTTGAACTAATGTCATGATATTTGAAACGGTTAATTAAAAAATTTAAATTTATAATTTATATAATAAAGTAGTTTAAAATTCAATTTTGAAAAAATAAATAAAATAATTTTTGCTATTCGCGGTTGAGATTTATTTAAATTTAACTTTAAAATTAATTCGACGGCTAATATTAACACTCAAAATTTAATAAAAAAATAAGTTCCTAATGGTGTGTTTGAGATGACAATTTAAAAACACTTTCTAAAAATTATTTATCATAAATACTTAAAAAAAATAGTATTTAAAACCACCTCACCACAACCACCACCACCACCACCACCACCACCACAACAGTCATTGCCACCCACTACAATCATTACCGTCTTCTATCGCCATCACTACCACCATTATCGCCCACTATCTCTCACCCCCACTACAAAATCGATACTAAAATTTTTTTTTATCTTTTTTTTATATTTGTGATTTGATTTTGGATATGAATATAAATATGTTTATTGTTTATAATTTTTTATTACTCTGTACGTTCAAGTACAGACAATAGCTAGCTAGTTAATATTGAATAAGAATTTAAAATAATAGGAATAATTTTCTTATCCCCCCGCGCGGAAAAAAAAAGTAACAATTATTCGAAAAATGAATAATGCTACACAATTCAAATGAAATTTACAAAATTATAATCCAAATATATATTATCTTTTGAATGAATAGATTTCATCAATTTTTTTTTTTAGTAGTATTCACTCATTTAATACTCATATAAGATATGCTATACATTTGAATTGTAATTTTTAAGTATCATTTAAATTTCAAAGAATTTTCTTCAATTAATTTATCTGAAATCTCGAGGAAAAAGTCAACGGAATCGAAGTATGAGATCTTGTAGGACCTGACTTGGTTCTATGTGGATCCGTTGGTTCAATTTGTGGGAATTGGGAAACAACCTCAACTTCATTGATTGCAAGTTCCGATCTGTATGCAGTAGCCAGCCTCATGGACAGTTCATTTGTTCCTTCTAATTTAAGCTTATGAATCATTTAAATAACTTATAATCTAAGCTAATATAGTTTAATATTCATCTATCTTACTCTACAATTTATAATTATAATTTTATAATATAAAACATGACAGATTTCAATAAATTCATCGGACGGTCTTAAATAGACTCATCTAACGACCACCAACGTCCCTCTTAAGTAAAAATCTAGGTTTAGGTTGTACAGTGCCTTCAGATACGAATTACCCCTAGTATACTCTAATCTAAGCTAGTATGGCTTGTCAATGCTCATCTTTTAATATATCATGCCAAGGGTATAATTTAATTAGGTCCGACAATCATATCAAGTGAGACAAATTCGTGTCGAATTTGTTCAGGTTCATGTCAAAAAATACTTTACTCATAGCTCTTTCGTTTTATTAATTCATGTCTAATAAATCATGCATAACCGATATATAAATGAGTTTTGTTATCCAATTTTTTTGATTAGTTTCATTCATACCCTTACTTTATTCATTTATTAATAGTATTGTGTCAAGTCTACTCATTTATAAAATAAATGGTTTAAAAAAAAATTCAACATTTTAATTTCATGTCGTGTTAACGAACTCTTATCATATTTTAACACTCCTAAATTTAGTAAATCTCTCTCTCTCTCTCTCTCTCTCAAGGGTACTTAGATATCTCGACTCACTTAATAGATTGATAATTGTTCGAACATTTCTGTTCCTTTCTTCCCTTAAGACTATTAGACAAAGAACAGATATTAGTTTCATGCAGATGAGTATGGGAATTGAATAACATATTACAAGGTTAAAATTGAAGCTTTTATCCGTATGTTATAGCCTTTTTTTTTACAGGGTGTCTAAATTTGTACTTACTACTCTTTCAAGTTTAAATCCTGACCATCATAGTTCGAACGGATTTAGAACATGTCTTAAAAGAACAAGAATGACTGATCCTTAATGAATATAAAAAATATTGAACCAAAGACATCTAAATTACAAAGGTCAAATTCAACCACTGAATTAAGTTATAGTGCTTGTGACTAACGTGGTTATGATATTTTCTTTATTTTTGAACAAATTCTAAATTAAATACTTAATGCCAAAAACTAGTGATATCTAATTTTTCTGATGTCCAGCTTCTGGTCATATGATCAAACTTTACATCTGCCTTGATTTCCTCTAGTATTCTGACCTTTTCTCCGGTTTTCAGCAATGAGAATAATAGACATCCCTGAGTTACTGACAAAAGTTCCCCCATTTCTGATTTTATATCCGAGACAAACGGAAAATTTTCAATTTTGGTGTCATCAACCAATGGACTAATTGTTGTCTTATTATTATTATTATTATTTTTTTAATCAGGAAAATGGGGAGTGGGGCAACCGGTAGATAACCTGTGGGCATGATCAAGGGTCCCCACTATGAAATGTCCGATTTGAGCCATACTAATACGGAAGAACAACCTGTAACCACAATACTATCAAAGACAAGTAACAAATTGTGTTTGTTCTCGTAAATTAAACCCTGCTTGATAACCACATAAGAACTAAGGATGAACCTAAATAGATATGACTTACCGTTAGACCACCAACTCGATTTGTGTCTTAAGTGAGTGTTCGTCAATATATATTCAAGTACAATCTTCACCATTCAAAGCCATGATCAATTTGCATCTCATATCATGAAGACATGTCTAGAGTGGCCTCACACATCTGATGTTCATATTCAACAATTAATGACTCAAATAAGAACAAAAATTCCTTGTGTTACTGGCCTATTCACCCCAAGATATCTTACTTAGGGTAAATTAAATAATTAATGAAAATGCGAAAAATAAATCGAACATATAGCATCGTACATATCAAAGAGACTCATGAAAAGAATCAAGGGAAGATATTTCATATATTGAGTGAAGAATTTCCCAGTATCCATCCCCCACAATTACAAGGCTATACCCCCAATCTCTTGTCCAAGAGAAAAAACAACATTTCTCTTTATGTACAAGGCCACCTAACATCACCTGTGAATCTTTAGCTCCCATTTTGTCTTTCATCATTTTTCTCAAAGCCATATTCCAGCTTTCCTCAATTCTTCTTTGTTCATGCATATTGAAAGACCAGGAAATATACCCACCATTGTAAAAACACCCAAAACACTCTTATCTCACTATTTAGTTTGCCCACTTTCCCGAAACCGGAAGAAAAATCAACATATATAAGAGATAAAATGAGGCACTAAGATGATATCATGACCACAAGTCAGAAAATTTTAACAGCTAATCCAAGGATTACCTTGGCTGCGGACGTACTGGAAACGAACGAGCTGGCCTGGCTGATGGTTGAGGTGATGTACTGCCAAATAACATTGTCTGTGAGCGATTAACCATGTCCACCATGGACGGGGTCTGGTAAGCCTGCACAAGGCTTGTACTATCTGTGGAATCACCTCGTGCAGTTGCACGCTGCCATGAGTGAGAGCTCAATCCTGACAAAACATATGCCCTTCCGGAGGTCTCATACAGACGGCGGTTTGCCATCCTCTCTTGCATCTCCCTCAGTTCAGCAACCAATGCAGCACATAACCGATCTCCAGCTTGGGCTGACACGCTTCCTGATACTTGTATACGACAATGCTCAAGAACAGATACTGCAGCAGCTAGATCACCACGTTCAGCAGAAGCCTTTGCTTCAGCCATTGCCTCAGCTACTCGGAGCCTGTTTTGCTGTCTGTCCACTTCTGTTGACACAACTAGTGGTCCAGTGATTTCAGGCCTCTGAATCTTCACGCCACTGGCTTCTTCCAAGGTCACCACCTCTTTTGTGATGGAGTCAGTGTACGTACATTTAACCTTTATCAATGACATCTCATCACTGGATCCATCAACTGGAATATCCATTGTCACCAGAAAATCTCTTTCTTCTTCAGCATACAAATCCCCAACTTCGATAAATCCTGACCTTGCATCCAGCATCACACTTGATTTGTAACTTCCTGCTTTTATTGAGCTGAGTTGCAACCTTGGGTGAACACACTCAACTCCCACTTGTAGCTCCTGTATCACAACACTCAAAAGCCCTCCAATGCACTGAGCAAAGGCATCCTGAATCACACTCTCTGCTTCTATGAAAGAAAATGTGCCCCCAGAAGTTTCAGAGATTGAATGCATTGAAACAGCATCATGATCTGTACCAAATCCAAACGCATGGACTGGAATGTGGGGGCCTGTACCACTATTGCGATGCATTGAGAGTGGGAGGAGTGACTGGTAATCGGTTCGAGAATGAGACCCACCAGGACTGCTAACAGTGTATGTGTCCTGTCCATCGGACAGCAACATAATACTGCTAACTGGGTTTTTCCACTTGCGGTCTGTTATCACCTTGGCACCCTTTCTTAGGCCCTCCGCAATGTTTGTCCCACCATTTGAAAGTAGCGAATTGACAGCCTGTAAGGCTTCCTGCCTTCCAGTGTCAGTCATCCGACGAAGGGGAAAGATACGGCGAGCTGTAGAGGAGAAGGCAATGACAGAAAGCCTGTCAGAAGAGCCTAGGTTTTGAATCACAAACCCCATGGCTCGTTTTAGCAAGGCAAGCTTGGTGCCTGCCATGCTTCCACTGACATCAAGCACTGTGACAAGATCAACAGGAGCACGCGAGTTTTGAGATAACGGCAAGTAAGCCTGGTTTGTCCCACAATGCCGTCGGTTATTAGTATTGGGGGCTTTGAGATGAATTAAAATACTGAAATTACTATGAGTGGCTGACTTCGCAACGGCAGTAACCTCTGGGTATGTTCTGACTTCTATTGCCCCAATAGGAAGGTTGCCACCGCCATCAATGCCAGACGAGCCTTTTCCAGTAACCGCAGTTTGGTGAGTAACCAGTTCGTCATCATCAAAGACGCCTGGCTCTGGGGCAGGAAGAAGAGAAGGAATATGTCGATTGATGTCCACTCGTGGAGGAGGAAGCCTTCGTAGAACAGTCATCCAGGAATCATCATGGGACCAAGATACATGGTTGATCCTTGGCCTTCCATGGGATAGATCACCCTTGAAGGGGATTTCCTTCCATTTTGCTCGGCAAACAGGGCAAACTTGGTTTCCATGTTTAACGTTAGTAGTAATGCAATGGAAATGAAATGTGTGCGAGCATTCTGCAGTGAAAATTGCATGACCATGGCCTGGTTTCATGGTGGCCAAGCATACTGCACAAGTCTGCAAAACGGAAGTACTTCAGGTGAAAAGCAGATTCTATGGAGAATATTTAGGACAAGGAACTGTCAAATGTGGGCATTCAAACACATATCTAGGTCAAGATCCCAAAAAAAAAAAAATATGTAGCTATCTTAATGAATCTTAATACAATTCCACCTAAACTAATCCAATAATTTTTATACAGCCATGGAAGTGGAATCCACTAGATCCAACCCATATCTTGTTGAGTTCAACACCATACACTAGTTCAAAGGAATCCCAAAGACTAAACTTTTGAATAACATAATTTAAGAGCATTATCGGCAGATTTAGGCAAAATTATCCCAATTGCTGGTCATCACAATATTAAAAGTGATTATTGTCTGCATGTAAGACACATTATCGAGAATGGTGCATAAAAAGATGTATCGTAGCGACCCATCTATGAAAAAGAGCCTCTCCCAAGCAAGATAAAAAGAATATTCGAGAAAACTGACTGATTGCGGGAGTTTACCAATGTTAGGTAGTCAAAACACGGTAGAGGGTATACTAATACAGCTAACCCAGCAATTTCTAAAAAGTAAGAGTAATCAAGCAACTCTCAAACTAATGATGAAGCTTTCGAGGCAACATAAAAGTGTATAAAATTTAAAGGGCATGTATCAAAAGAAGTAGAAATCATTAGTTGTTAGTTGCTACAAGATTTCCTTCTTTTTCAACTCTCATCTTACTTTGACCAAGCTTATTGTGGGAAAAGCTCTTAATCAACGGTCCACAGGCTTTTCCAAATCTATCATCAAAAGGGGTGATAATGAGGAAAATAGAGAGATGGGTCTGAGCGTGGAACAGAGCGACTGCTGACCAGACAAAGCACTTTCCCTCCAAGGAGGGGTTATGGGGAAAGGAAAGAGTACACTAATTTTTCTTTTACAATAAGGCCAAAGGACAATGGTCCTTAAAGGGACTAGTCCACTTTATCATCACAATGTGCCATAGAGGGCTGAAAACTTACATGACAACCTATACCCCATCTCTCCGATCCAGATGCATATATTTAGATCCATTATCATCCCCAGACCTCTACCCCACGTGAAAGACAGTCCAAAAACAAGCTTAGCCAAACAAATATTAAATTGACTAATTTTAAGCTTAAATGTGAAACCAAACAGATCTTAAGTTCAATTGTACTCAGAATCTGCACATGAAGATTCAAATAGCAGACGGGATACAAACTAATTGACAATAAAAAAAAAATTGACGATATAATCGATGAATCCTCGCTACAAATGGTAGAAATAGGATGACATTGGACAAAAAACTTCAAGATCCATGAAATCATAACTGTTTTATGCTACCAGAAACAAAAACAAAACTAGAAAAGCATTACGAAAAAAAAAGTAATTACAAATGCATGAACTTTATCAAAAATACAGATTTAACGCTATCTGCGGTTTATATTCGAACCTTGGATGATTTGTTGCTGTGCTTTGGCAGCTGGAGACCGGAAGATGACGGCATCGGCGTTGTTGGCATCTGACAATCGGAATTTCTCGCCGACGACGAAGAAATCGTCGGAGACAGCAAAACGGAGGCGGACAACCTTCCAGCACTTTCAGCCACCGGCGAAGATGAGTCTTCTAGAGTTCTCGGAACGTAAAGGCACGTGTTAAGCCCCAAAGCCAGCTTTGCTTTCCTCCATTTGCTGCCCATTTTCCGATCTAACGATGTTTCTAGATAGAGAAACTACACACACACGTATACATATATAGGCGTATATAGATATATACTATATCTAGCTTTTCAATGGCTTTGAAGAGCAGATCTCCGAATAATCGCAATGCTTGTTCTCTGAGCTGTTTCACTTCCTCCCTCTTCTCACAAAGACGGTAACCAGCAGCTTTGAATGAAGCAACTCATAAATATGTGTAGATATTCATGTACGTATAGAGAGAGAGAGAATGGAGAGCGAGGGGAAGCGAGAGATGCGTGTGTTAGTAGTATGTGTTTTAGAGAGAGAAAGTGGAGCGGCGTGGGAATGATTTGTTTAAAGAGGGAAGGTGGTCTATGAGGGACAAAATTGGAAAATAAATTTCGATCTGAGGTGGATTTGTTGGGATTGGCAGCAATGAGAGGTGAGCTTTGACCAGCGCTGTCAATCCGTTGTGTGTGCTGTCGTGAGTGTTATCCGCCTTCGCGTCATTATTGACACATCGGTATTACTAACTAAATTATTTAATTAAATAATTATTAAAATAATAAAATTCACAAAATTTACCTTTTTTTTTTTTGGTTGTTATAAAAAAAAAAAAAAGGGTAAGATAAAAAAGAACGCTAGAGATTATCTTTATAGTGGGACCATGAGATTTTGATCACACTCGTTATTTTTCTAAAGAATAAATTTAATTAGATTAACATAATGGTCACAAAATTTACTTGTAAGTACTTCACATTGAATATTTTCTCATAAACTATGAGAGATAGTTCAAGTAGTAACACAGACGAATTGTAAATTTAGATGTCTTTTAGAATTGAATCTTGACAAATTTTTGAGATTATATCATAAAGAATTTATCTTTCGTGAATACTCTAATTCCAGCGTGGATGACCTGACCGAACCAAGAAAGAGATCAGTTGAAATGCATATAAGCAGCCCCGGACACACTTGATCGTTATATAAGTAAATGTGTGTTATTTATAAATTGTGTATAAATTATATTTAATAAATTTATATTATGTTTAACACTTTAAATTGTGTTTAATTGGGTTTATAAAATATAATTTAACCTCAAAAAGTTATTAATTTTAGTCATTGAATGAAAACGGATTGGGTTTTTTTTTTTTTTTTTTAATTTTATCATGAAATTAGGTTTGATTAGTAGATTTATGCGAGTGGTATTTGGGCTTGGTTGTGGAGTAATTATCGAAAAGGACAGTGGTTTCCGTTGAATTAGCACGGGTTTTCCGGTTTCAAGTCAGCATCATTTTGGGTAAAGTGGTTTGGGTACAACCAGTTTGTTTGCTTGCTGTTGTAAAATGGAGTCAGGGTCATTTGGGAAACGCATTAGATAACATTGACAGCTTGTGTTAGCTCAACTACAACCATCCCCACAAGTTTTGCCTTTTCAAGTTTTACTGCTCGACGATGACACTAAGGTAGTAAATTTTTTTTTTTTTTTTTATTTATATTGTTTTTGTTCTTAATAAAAAATTACACGTACACGACAAATCAATAATAATACATCAGAGTTTTTAGTTTAATAGTACACCCTATCTTGTGAACACTTAACTTTTATAAGACCAAAGATTTAAGTTTTCTAAGCGACAAAAAATGTGATTAGTTGGTATGACAAATCCCAATTATTTTGACGAATTATATCAAATTCTCTGATCTGAGTTCGAATTTTCATCAAAACGCAAGTCCCGATTTAATTGGTGTATAGGTTGAGAGAAATCGATTCATGCACCTAAAATTTGCCCTCGGTTATGTTCAGACTCAAGAGTTTAAGCAACTAAGTGATCCCTATCTCACGGTAAACAGGGCTAAGAATTTCCCGTCATCCAAAAAAAAAAAAATTGAGTGGCGATTTTGTTTTTTGACTACCAGCAGAGATTTATCCTAGTATTTGTCTAATATATGTAAGGTACTAAAACTACATGCACAGAAGAAGATTAATCGAGTGTTCTAAAAAAGCAACATGCATAGCACTAAGCAAAAAATCAGAACAATTTTCTTTTCTGATTTTGAAAGTCGTTTTAATTAATGTTTCACAATTTATCACAATCATTTTAGCTAAGAATAAGAAAGGAAAGAATGCTAGGTAATTTGATTATAAACTTAAATTTCTTGAGTTTGAAGACTATTTTTGTCCCAACTAACTCACCATCTTTGGTTAAACCTCAATCAAAAGCTTTGTTTGAAAATCCTATTCTCCAAAAACCAAAAAAAGAAGAGAAAAGAAAGGAGAGATAAATATCATAAATTACATTAATTTCACGAGAAAAAAATGGTGCGTTTAAGACACGCAAACCTAACGGTATAATTATGTAAATTCTATTTTATTCTAACTGATGATGTACAAAATTGTCTTATGCAAGATCAATAGTCGAGTATGTGATAAGGTGTAGTTAATGGACAGACAATAAAACAATCAATGACAGTAATGTAAATATTAAGTCAACACGCAGATATATAATAGTTAGGTACATGTGACCTATTCCACTCTAAAAAACAGTAATGGTGGCGAGGGGCTCTTTATTGATAAAGTTAGGTGAACGGAGAATAGAATAATGGTTAGCTCCATAAGAGATACAATAGTTAAGAGAGATAAACTATGTGCGTAGAAAGATGTGGTGTTATACCAAGATGTATCCTCTCATATGGAGATGACTTACAATTTATAGGCATAATGAGACAGTGACGTGAGTGTGAGAGAATTACTTGATTTTAATCTCTTCTCTAAGTGTTCTTTTCTTCATGGACTCCTTGAATCTTAAACTGGGTCGCATTGATGAACCGAATTTAAGCTGCCTTTTTGGTGGATTTGGACTTACTTGATTTACTAAATTTGAGCCCATTAGGTCTCGCTTGTCACTAACAAAATAGACACTCTTTGATTAGAAAACACAACTTTTTATATTTTATGATAATGAGCATTTTCAAAAAAAAGAAAGAAAGAAAGTAAAAAGCCAATAGTATTATTTAATATGCATGTCATTATATGCTATAATGCAGGTGCATTTGGATGGTAAAAGAAATTGTCATTTTTTGCGAAGGTAAGACTTTGGTACTGAAAATAACTTTTTAGTACAACGCTAAAGATTATTAAAGAATAAAGACAAGGTCAATACTATATCTAGTGAATTTATGATAATATGAGATTATTTAACTTTTTTTTTTATTAAGTCACAACTTGACCTCATTAAATTGTATTCGACTTGTATAAATAACAACTTCGACCCAAATAAATCATAAATAAAGGATTGAAGTTCGATCCTAATGGTTAAATGTTCCATTTTTACTAACTATAGTAGTCACTAGTTCAAATTCTCATTCCTTGTATTATCATAGTGATAGGTATAAATTATAAATAGTCCCATCTTGCCCTTCTTTTATTTTTTGTTTAATGGTCAGTATTCAAATTAATTTATATGTATCTCGACTAATTTTTTCTGCGATCTAATCAAAAATAGATTATCCACACCAAAACTAAAGTATTTATGACCTTCTATTTTGTGGAAGTAAACTTTAGCCTGAATCATCCCTGATTCCCTTTGACTTTAGGCAATTGTTCTTCATCATCACTACAAATATATCTTCTTGGAGGGAGGCTTAGTTGTAAAGTTTAAATATAATTTATTATTTAAATCTAATTTATTAATTTAATTAATTAATCTAATTCATCACAATTATTAAATTAATAATAAGTCTTAAAAATATGAAAATCCACGATTAATCTAATCAGTACAAATAATTAGATTAATAAATTATGTCAATAAATTAAGTCTAATTAGCATTACTTGACATATAATTTCGCGCCCTAGTGGCGAATATCAATGGTGAAATCATCCTCTCAAAAAAATAGTTTGCACAAAAAGGATCACCAACACAACCATTAAGTGTTTGACTATTTGTGTAAGAGGATTAAGTTAAAGTCTCTATCAGAAAGTCTCTATTGTTCCCCTTGAATGACATATCAAATATGCTTTGAGTACTTTGTTTGACTTAACATGGATTGGCCCCCATTATGATATAAGAAGAGTTGGGTATATATCAAAAGTCAGGGATTATGTTATGATGCTAAATTCTGTTTATGGTGATGACTGATAAGTTCTTCACTACAGCACTTATGTTATGAACTTGGACAAAAATTATTAACTCAAACATGACTTGATAACACGTATAGTACACGAGTTGTGTTTTGAATTATGAGTGAATCCATCTACTCATTAGAAAACATCTCAGGTTCATGGGTAAAGTTAGGAATTTAGTCTTGGATGAACACTTTCATTACAAGTTTTACTTAATTTTTCTTAGTCGGTAAAATAGCATGATAAATTTATGTTTATCTCAATAGAGACCAATAATAATAAAATAAAAACCAGGCATAAGTCAATTGTAGGTAATTTTACATTTTGAGGTTAGAAGTTTGAATGTTGGAGTCCATATTGGAGCTCATTAGTTGACTGTTATGTTAATCTAATTAAGTTTATTTTCAAGAAAAGTAATGAGCGCGGTAAGGAGCCACGTGATCTCACTAGTGAGGAGTTATCGGAGTAGTTTCTGAGCATTTTCTTTTACTCTCACCCTTTTTTTACCAGCTCAAAAAAAAACAATATCAATTGCAAAAACCCCTAAAATTGTAATCAATCACGTCATAAAAAAACATATCAAACCAAAACATTACGCTTTTAACAAATAGTAAAAAAATCTTTAACATGAACTCGCTAATTTCGTATCAAATTAGTAACAGTAAGACTAAATTCAACCCTTGACAAGGGCTCTTGGGGGGTGTAATAACAAACTGTAGGAGTGCATCATCTGTGTTGGCCGTATGTATGAAGTCATTTTCATTGATGTAAGACATAGAGTGGGTGCTTTACCCAATAATGACTTCTCAAAAGAAATTGGACCATGGCTTCATGAAGGGGCATACATACCTTCCACTCCACTTATTTTTAGCCTCCAACAAGTGGGTCTGATGGACCCCTTAACCTAACAGCAATATGTATAGATTCCCATGTCCATGTCACATCTTACTAAAGCATCTTTGGTATCAAAACAGTCTTAGAAACAAATTAACATTACATGATTGTGTCAAATCTTTGTTTACAAAAATAAGGAAAATCTTCCTTCTAGGTCTTTCCTACACCCCCCATGGACTATATATTACACGGAGTTGTTTATGGTACCGAAATTT